AAGTAATTATATCTCCATTTCCATTAAAGCAAATTCCTCCTAGTCCTTTTCTTCAAATGATCAAAGTCCAGTCCCAAATAAAATAAACATTAACAAAAGTAGCCATCATCATCCAATCCCAACAAAAAAATTAGATGTCACTAGACATAGTAACCAATTATATATATATTATCAACAATAACAATATGAGATGTAAAAATCAATTCAGTACATTATCACAAATAACTATTATCATCCAATCCCCGTCAAAAAATCATTAGGCACCGTAAGACATAGCCAATCCTTATTTTTACTGTGATCACATAACACAATTTTGTATTTTTTCTTTCTCCCACAAAGAAAATTCTAACATTTCTTTTCCCAGTTTCTTTGTCTCTGCTGTCAAAATTTTTGTCATCTTTGCCAGAGGTGATCCAATATAAGAAAATAATCTACAAGAGTCTTGATTTATTACTTGAAAACTTTTTGTTGTTTTTAAATCATGAAGTCCCATTAGGATGGACTTTTCATTTCTTTCTTGTGGGTTGTAATTTTTGAATCCACCTTAAAGTCTATTTTAGTTTTATTTCAATAGGGCTTGTTTCTCTTCAACAACACCTTTTTAAATAACTCCAAAAACCCTTAGCACCCAAAGGTGAAACATTTCTTATAAGCTAGCAATCTGGTGCCCTCTAGTGTCCAACCTTCAAAGTAATCTTATCAACTCAAAATATAAAGAGAATTTTTTCACAGGAGAGGATCTTCTCAATTAACTTCAAAGTCTTTATTTCAAATCCATCTGAACCCTTAATCTAATTAAAACTTTATGAGATCAGTGCTATAGTCACCCTTTTGCTGCATATTCCAAGAAATTTTTACAAAACTTTAAACAAGAAATTTTCTTTCTGAATTGATTGAAGAACTTACTCAGCAAACTTGTGGTTTCAAAGATTTTTTTTAATATAACAAACAATTTAAAAAACTGAAGAGTGATTAAAAAGACAAGATTTGGTCGAGCCTTAAGTACATGAAAAGACTACATTAACAGCTCTGAGGCTGGTGAAATCCCAATCCTGAAACTCCCAGTTGATTGAAGAGACCACAGAAACATAAATTTCTGCTATCTACTCACAAAACACCAGTTGTCTGGAGTACCTAATGTGTGGGTAATCTCAAGAGCTAACCATGGTCCTAGGGGTGATTTTTGGCAGTCCGTACCCGGTGTCCAGTTGCCTTTATGGCCATAATGTCTGCTGCAGTCTACAGAATGTCAGTGTCTTGTTTGGCTACCACAATTTGAACTGACAACTAAGTCATTAAGCAAAGCACTTGCTAACTGAAGCCACAAGTGTGTTTGATCTTAATTCTGCTTTTTTTTTTTTTTTTTTTTTTGCTTTACATATCTACGAAGTTCATACGTGTAGGGACTAGTCATAAAGTTACTTTTTAAATCATAGTCATAACTGCAAATGGTCACAAAACAAGGACTATCTGTAGGGATGGTTATCTATAAGATATAAATTCTAAAGGTGGAGAATCTAGCCCTCATGTTGCTCCATCATCCATTTCAGCTGGAACTGCTAGACATGGAAGATTTGCAATGTCTGAAAAATTTTCTATTCCTGCTCTATTCTTAGTGATGATGTAAGCGTCATTGCAATGTTTGTTGGAACCATAGCCAACATTGGCATAAATCTGATATGCGGTGTAGGCTCTCCTGAGATAATTCGGACCTGAGGCTACCACACGTAGTGAGTCACTATTCAACTTTAGAAAAAAGTCATTTTCAATCATGTCAATGTCAGTTAACTTAACTGGGTTGCTTTTTTTTACTGGTATTAACTTTTACTATTTCATGAATACGTGGTTGCTTTCAATTTTGTTTTTTAAAACAATCTGACTCCTTATGTTTCTTTATTAAAATCTGTAGCAAAAGAACATCGGAAAGCACCAGCTTTCATCTCTAAAGCACAAAGCACAAAAGTTTATGAGGGGGATTCAGCTAGACTTGAGTGCCAAGTGTCTGCTATCCCCCCACCACAGATATACTGGAAAAGAAATAATGAAATGGTACAGTTCAATACAGATAGAATCAGGTAAGGACATTTCTGCTGGATTTGCTTTTAGCTGATTAGAAGTAAAGATAAGTTCCCTGTGGCAGAGTCCAGTTAAAGGACTACAAATGTTACTGTCATGTGCCATTCATTGGAGGAAAGCTAATAAGCATCACCTTTTCCACTGCCTCATATTGCCTTCCCATCCAGCACCCTATGGCCAAGATGTAAGTTTCTGATCTTACTTCTCTGCCAAGAGTGATGCAGTCAGTGTTTAGGAAATATAGCTTATTAAAATTAAGAACTTTTACAATGAAAATTAGGACAAAGTTCCTCTTATTTTACTGGGGTTTTTTTTAAGTGTAAGCTGTCCAGTCATTTGGAGTCAGACAGCCTGTAAATTTAATAAAATAAAATGATGTCTGTTAGCTCCTTCCTGTCTATTTCATGTTTATTATGGGGAGTGGCAACAGCAGTAATAATGGAATTTTGCTACTGGATGATTTATCTTGCAAAAAGATATGGGAAAGCATATCTGCCTTGTGCACAGTAGTGAGGACAGAGGAGAGGAATTCGTTCAGAGAGTTGCATCCATAAGATGCAATTTCAGAATACTGGAAATTGTTGAATTTGGGATGAAGAAGATGGATCTGCAGCATGAGGTCTGTTTTATATAATAGGACACTAGAGAGCAGTGCCCTTGGGCTGCGGTCAGTAATAAAAAACATGTATTAGGCACTGAAACATGTTTAACAAAAATTTGATACATATATTAAATATACTCTAATTAAAAGTAACTGTTTTTAGTGAGGTCCAGCTAAGGTAATTTTGTTTTTCCTCCATTTTGTAGCATGTTTCATGATGCTGCTGGCAAGATCTGCTTGCTGATCCACGATGTAAATAAGAAAGATGCTGGTTGGTACACAGTATCTGCAGTCAATGAGGCAGGAGTGGCAACGTGTCATGCCAGATTGGATGTGGCTAGTAAGTGCTTTTTTTCTGCTGATTGAATGTACATTTCCTTATACCTAGGGGAATGCATCAATTCAGCTATATATTCCCTGACTAAATTACATGAATGTTTGCAAATCATCTACTTTGGATTATCTTGTCTGGGTTAGAAGAATAAAAGTGATATTGTACAGTGGTGGCCAACCTATGGCACGCATGCCAGAGGTGGCACTCGGAGCCCTCTATGTGGGCACGCACGCCATGCCCCGGAGATGGCAACCGTCCTCTTCAACCAGCTGCGCCTGCTAACTTGCCGAGGTCCCACATGGCCAGATACATCCCAGCACCCATGCGCTCGCTGGCCTCTGTGTGCAGGGGCCGATGGTGTCAGGCAGCAGCCGCTCCGGCCCCTGCCTTGCTTTGCCCTGCGACAATGGCACCCCCGCCCTGCCTCACCTCACCCCAAAGGACAAGCCTCCTGCCCACCACCCCACCCGCCAAAGACCCCCTGGATTTCCCCCACCCCTGCCCGCCCCCCCAGCATCTCTCCCATCAAGCTGGCCACACTCACCCTCCTGCCATGACTACCCTAGCTACGTACATCCAGTGGGCCACACCCACCCAGCGGGCCACACCCACCCAGCACCCGGCGATATATAAGTGGATTTGGGGTTGCAGTTTGGGCACTCGGTCTCTAAAAGGTTCACCATCACTGATATAGTAGAACCAAATAACACCATGGTATACTATTGTTCTATCTCAGAAGCACAGAAGCACTTCCATGATAAAAGGAATGCCCGGAGGATGCTCCTTTCATGTCCATGTTAACGAGCCCACCAAAGTGGTATCTATTTATGTACTTGCACTTGCACACCAGGTCAGCAGGAACTGGAGCACATTACAGGAGCTCACTGTATCACACAACAGCACTCGGGCTTTGAACATAGGCTTGCAAATTGTCAACCCAACATCCTAACCACGTGAGCCACCGTGCTCTTAACACCACGGTAAAACTTATTCAGACTGTGTATTAACATACGAGCTTAGTGCTGTAACCTCTTGTAGTTCCTTCCCTTTGCAGGGCAGTTTGAATGGTCTCTATTCATTTTCTTTTTCAGCCCACACATACAAGCCACTTCCAAATCCAAAGCCGCTGAAGGTTCGACCAACTTTTAGCAAGTATTTGGCACTTAATGGGAAAGGTGTGAACGTGAAACAGGCTTTTTTTCCTGATGAAGGAGAATACCAACGTATGGCAACACAGTCCGGACTTTTTGAGAGTGAAGAACTTTAATAGCAGAAAGAAAGAAAATACGTTTTGCCCCTGCAAATTAAATGGCAATAGCACTGTTTAGCAAACATGCTTAACATATTTTTATTTATGACTTAACTCCTGCTATTCCTGCTGCTTTGAATTTGATCAATTTTTAAGGTACTAATGTGTGTGCTGTTGCAGAAGGAAATAGCAAATGTTTGTAATTTTTGAGTTTAAAGGCCAAGAAACTGGGCCTAGTTCAATCAAGAAAGTTTGAATGCATCTAGTTTCAGTCACTAAGTTTTTATTTCTACTGCTGCATTAATATACTTCCAATGTAAACATTTCTGCTGATTAATAAATATAAATTTGGATGTTTTTAATGAAAGTTTTATGTTCAGAGAAAATAGTTTTAAATAGAATATTTGCAATTGGTTTCATTTGCATTAGAGATATAATGAACATAGCACAATAGCACTATGGACAATAATCATTCTTTAAAAAGTGAATAGGTTTGGGTTACACTATTTTTTTAAAAAATCCACGTTGTCTTTGAATAATTATAAAATGAAGAAAGTTCCTCTTGTAAAGGTATTCCTTACTTCCAGAATGCAAAATAGAATTTTATCATTATCTCAGAAGCTCTATTACAGTGGTTCTCAATCTTTTTATACCGGCGACCCCGGTCATAAGCAGGCGGCGCGCATGCGCGGCGGCATCCCCTGCGCGGCGGCGCCCTCTGCACGGTGCGCATGCGCCGCGCCACCCCCTGCGCCAGCTGAGGAAAAAAATGGCGGATTGCGTTTGGCAACCCCGGTGAAATGGTCGTTCGACCCCAAATGGGGTCGCAACCCACAGGTTGAGAACCGTTGCTCTATTAAGAATCCTAACAATCTTAACCAGCATTATGGTCAAAATTGTGTCTGTGTTTTAAATTAAGATCAAACTTTTCTAAAGGCAATTTCTTTTACCGTATTGGGGGTTTCATGAATTGGGCTCCCCTAGAGTTTCTTCATGCACAAATGCTTTCATTCTGCTCAGAAGAACCATAAAATAACCCATAAAATAACCAGTGCTGTATCTTAAAAAGGCAGCCCAGCAAACAAGGTCTCTTGGGGAAATTCTTTTAATAAGAATGCTAAAAGTTCTACTTAAATGTTTAATGTGGGGGTCAAGAGGTTCTTACTGTAATTAAAGAGCTTTCAGCTAGAACACTTTTTATCTGTAGTGGATTCGTATGCCAAGTCATAACATTTACAAGAAATGTAAAAAATTCTGTTAATGAAGAGGGACAGCAAGGGCGAAATTGTTTCTTGCATTGTGGTCCTATAGGGAAAAAAACGGCAGTGAAAAGCAGTGAACAAATTAAAAAAACTAGGCTGTGACAGTAATTCCAAAGGAGTAATGTAAGAAACCTAAAAGGACATTTAAGGGGGGAAATTGTTATTGATCATGTTATGTATATCATCTAGTCTGTAGTTTCAGAATAAGGAACAGGAGCCACATTATGAAACAGCAAACCTCTTTTAAAGTTAACAATCCTCAGCTGAAAAATCAGGCAGCTAATATACTGTACATTACAGCCAAGAGTTCATACCCTTACTTGCCACCTCCTGATAAGCAATCCATCTCACCTCAGGTAGCCCTTAGGGGGGAAAAAACTATGTTTTTATCATGAAAAAAAGGCCTCCCCCAACCCCATTTCAGAAGCTCAGCATTTCAAGTGAATGCTGATACCTAGATAATGTCTTCTGGGTTACCCATCAATTGCGGAAACGATCAAATATTTTTAAAGACAAAAGCTATGCTTCAGAAAAATTGAAAGGACGCTATATCTGCAATAAGAAAATTTTGTTCAGCTATAAAAAGCCCGCTGGCTGTATAGTATACAGTTCTGTATTCTTGCGACCCACAGCTGTCGGTATAATCGTGGTTTATTCCGTTAACTTAATTTTTGTGTATTTTGCGCAACGACGTGGAGAAAGCCTTTAAACACAGCCACTAAAGCAAAAGCTAAACCGATCTAGCTGGGCCGAGTTTCAGAAGAAAGACGACTCGAACCGAACCCGCACATGCTAAATAAATCCAAGATGTTTTGCAGTATCTATTTTTGCAGAACTCCCAAGCTTCTTGGCCCGCTAAAAGTTGGCTTCTTGGTGAAAGACGCGATCCCGCGTTGCGCGCAAGGGAAGGCGAGGGCGGCTTTCGCGCAGAGGCATCCGCGACCCCGCCCTTCGCCCCGATCGAGTGGCGTTGTGTTCGTTATTGTGAGGCGGAAGACGGAGAGGAGCGGCGGCGGAGAGGAGGGGCGGCGCAACCCTCCTTGCGAGCCCCGCCATGGCTACGAGCCAGGCAGGGTCCACGCAGGAGCAACGAAGCACCTTCGGTGGGTCGGCTTCCCTGTAGGGGAGAGCGCCTGTGCGGGAGTCGGCCCGGCCGATCCTGGCGCCGCCCGTGCTTGGGTGGCGGTTCTGCCTCGGGCTTTCCCCGCGGGTTTCACCTTTGCCTCGGGCACGTGGAGGAGAAAATCGTAGAAGGGGGATTGCCGTAGTTATATTCGTCAATACAGATGTTCATCTCAGGAGCCAAATGGGGGTCTTTAGAGGGAGTCTATTGAAGTGAACCCTTGGATGCCTGAATATCTATGCCAAAGACTATAATGGGTCTTTTAACTGTGTTATTTTACTGTATCCGAGAAAGGAAGGTTGTGGGCATGTAGTTGTTGCTGCTGAACAACAGATGGAATAGTTTAAAAACTTGAGGCGTTTACACAAGTTTTTCAGGGAAGACCTTGGTGTTTTGGGATTTCCTGATCCTGAGGATTTTAAAACGAAAATGCCGTTTCCCACTATAAGTTGGACATAAGCAAAACAGAAAAGTGCAATACCTCTGCATGCATCCAGGCCATATCTATAGAGCTTACCATCCACAGTTGTACAACACAGTCAACACCAAATCACATTTCAGCTTACTAAATTGTGTGAACCCACTTGTGGGACTAGTTTATGGTTCAGTGTGACATGGGACTCCAGAATATCTGCATGTTGTGCAGCAAACATGGCTTTGTTCTGCATAAAACCTGGTTCTAAATTGCTGGACAACCATGTAAGCCATACATTAAACTTTGCTTCATTGTGCTATGTTGAATACAGTTGGCTGGATTCACACACTAATTATACTATAAATCAAAAGTTGGTAACCTGAAGCTAAACCTCTTTTATACTCTGAACTCTCCCTTCTGCACCTCTGACAACTGCTGTTAAAAATTGCTGGTATATTTTCCTGCTATTTGGTAATAGGATGCACTCAAAAACTTTAATTAAGCCATAAAATAAACACAACATAGTTTAGAATAAAAAAAAAACCCAAAACACTGATTCTATTCCCAAATGAAGAATAAACAGAAAGTTGTCCTCACATTTTCTTCATTCCTCTCTCTAAAGTCAAAAGAATGTTAAACACAATCTCCCCAGCCACCCAAAAATGCCACAAAACAATGGATTACAAATCAGTAGCTTGGATTCACAGTCTATAGCCAAAGTAAACAAGCCACATAAACCACAACATCAGGAAAGTAGCCCTTCCCTCTAGGTGAACTGGGCAACTTCTTTGGATACAAAGTTGAATGTTGATTTTGAAGCAAAAGAATGTACAACAATAGGTTGAGAATCTGGAATAAGAGGACCACCATGGCTGGAGTGGGCAGAGAGGAGAGGTATCAAAGGACGCATGCTCATCACTGCACAAATCTGCAACTTGTGTACATGATATGATGTGTGCATTATTGTACTTTGCTGCCCAGGCAGTTGCATTTCATTTGCTAAGGATAGTGGGATTACAGCCCACTGCCCGTGTTGCCTAGAGAGGTAATGGAAATTGGAGTTTGGCAGTTTGGGGATTATGCTAATTTTCTCCTTCTCAGAGTGGCTGCTTTTATGCTTTGTGAAAATATAACAATATCCAGCCAACATTTATTTTCAACAATATTTGGGCTTCCAAAACAGAGCAGTGTTAAATATTTAAGCTCCAATGATTATACTTTCTTTATTATTCTTTTTAAATACCAACATTAATGATTGTCAATAGTGAATTTCATAAAATATAAGGTGCCTACAATGCAATCAAACTGATAATACATTCGGAGACACAGCTATTTCTGAATTTTAATTTTATTTTTGTAATTCGGGGACTTCTTTTACTTGGTTGGGTCTAAGTAGTTCTCAGCATTCTGAGCTGTTCTTTTTTTCTTTCTTTCTGAAAATTACACATTAACAGGCAATGTGAAACCTCGATTGACTCATAGCAGAGAGCTAGAAATGAAAACTACTCTCCAAGAACTATTGATCTACATTATTTTTCTAACTGATTTATGTATATGTAAGTCCAGAAAGGGGAATGGAATTTTTTCCTATAAAAATTGTGTATTGAAAAGTACAGAATTAATTATGTATTTCTCAAGCTGTTATAAAAAAATATTATACTTATATATACAGATAGTCCTCAATTTATGTCCACAATTGAGGCCAGAATTTCTGTTACTGAGACATTTGTTAAGTGAGTTTTGCCCCACTTAACAACCTTTCTTGCCACAGTTGTTAAGTGAATCACTGCAACTGTTAAGTTAGTAACATAGTTGTTAATGAATCTGGGTTCTCCGCTGACTTTGCTGGCCAAAAGATAGCAAAAGGTGATCACATTATCCTGGGACACTGCAACCATCATAAATATGAGTCAGTTGCCAAACACCTGAATTTTGATATGCTGCCACAATCATAAGTGTGGAAAACAGTCATAAATCACTTTTTTCAGTGCCTTTGTAACTTTGAATGGTCACCAAACAAATTGTAATTCGAGGACTACCTTTATATGCTTGCTGCCTTGAGTTTATAAGTGTATATGTGTATAAGTAATCCTTGATTTATGGCCAGTTGTTTAACCATCATTTGAACATAACAATTAGAAAGGATGCTTTACAGTCTGTAAAGCACTTCAGCTATCATAAAATGTCATGACAATCCCCCTGTGCTCACGTGATCATAATTTGATCATAATTTGGGTACTGCTCGCACTTAACAACTGGTTGTCAAGGGCCCTGCAATCACCTGACCACCATTTGCAGTCTCCTCTGCTGGCTTCCCCAGAAGGTCAAAATGGAAGCTGGCAAGGAAAGTTGCAAACCGCTGCCACCTGTCGGGGGATTTACCCCTCCCCTCTATGTCCAAAGATCCAAATTCCATTCCTGTATCCCAGGGCAAAAATTCTCTTCCACACATGGAAGGAAACAGCCTGCCCTCCTTCAGTAGGTATCTCTTTTGCTCTTTCCACTTAATGACCCGTGTGGTTACTTAATGGCCTCAACTGGGAGTGCCAGGATTGTGGCCATTGAGTGGAGTGGCCATGTAAGCATCTTGCTTAATGATTGCTTGTTCAACGACTAAGATTCCAGTCCCAATTGTGGTTGTAAATTGAAGACTACTTCTACCTAATACTTCTGCCTCCTGCATTTCCCCACCACCACAACACTTTGAAATGGGTTGGGCTGAGCCAAAGTCACCCAGCCAATTTTCATATGAAATATGAAATGAATATGAATGCATAATAATATGAATCTAATCAGCCATAAGCCTCTCGTATTTTTCTTGATTTATTTATCAATCAAAATACTATTGTGAGGAGGAGTAAAGCTGGACTCCTTCACTAGGATTCTGATTTTTGTTAAGGTCTGAATGTAGCTGTGGATATGCACATGTGACAGTTTAAAAAGGCAGTTTAAAATGTGATTAGATGATGCACTTACAAATGATCCTTGAGAAAACTGGATTTGTATCTGTATAGTATTGAACAAAAAAATTTAGGAGAGTATAATTGTTAATCCATTTCCCTATTTTATAGCTAGCTAGATAGGAGGGCAGGGGAAAGAGAGAGAGACAGAGAGACAAAGAGAGAGAGAGAATATGAGTGTATGTTCACCCAAAGGTGCTTTTTCAAAAGGCAACTGGACTTTGTTTTTCCTTGAAGTTGTTTCATTTCTCGTCTGAAAGCTTCTTGGATGAGAAGCAAAACGTCTTCAAAGAATAACAAGGAAGTCCAGTTGCCTTTTGAAAAAGCACCTTTGGGACAACCATGACTTGGATGGCTGAGAATCTCCATAAACAGTGTATGTTCATGTAAATCAGTCAAATGTAGAGATTTTTAAGGCCGGAAGGGAAAGCATATCTTGTACAGTAAATTGTTTCTACATACTAATGAAAGTTCTTTGAGAGTCCCGAGAACAATTAAAATGGTCATGGATAGAGAGCATGATTGCCTCCCCCCCCCCCTGATATTGCTGTGGCTCATTAGTTCAGAAATCACTTTTCTTTGGGATTCCAGTGAATAAATAGGGCAAGTGTGTTAGGGAATCTGAACCACCCTGCTGTTTCATTTCCTCAGTTCAGATTTCTGCATATTTTTCTCTGCAGTGACATTTGGGATGGTGAGCACAGACATGTATTACCTAAACAGAGTAATGGCCAACCTGTTCTTGGAAACACCTTTCTCAGAAAAAGATAAGACAATTTTCAAAACTATGGGCAGCATCACTGACTTTTGGCAGGTAAAGTTTCCTTTCCATCTTTGCTCTTTTAGAAACATTGGCTTCCTAGACCAGCGGTTCTCAACCTATGGGTCGCGACCCCATTTGGGGTCGATCGACCATTTTTCGGGGGTCGCCAAAGAAGGCGATCCGCCATTTTCTCCCCTCATGGGGCAGCGTCGCGCATGCGTGCCGTGCATTGGGGTGGCGCCGCACATGCGTGCCGCGCATGGGGGCGGCCCCTGCGCATGCGTGGCGGCGCCCCCATGCGCGCGGCGCCGCGCATGTGCAGAACGTTTGTGTGACGGGGGTCGCCGTCACACAAACGTTGAGAACCGCAGTCCTAGACGGTTATATCATAGCTGTGTTTGATTTGGTCATTGTTATGACTGGCTCCAGTTCATTGGGGATTTTAGAAGTATTCTGCCTTTGCTCAAAATCCTCCCATTTGATGCATTAGGGCCTTGCCTTCTCTAACCAATTCTAGTCCCAACAGAGGGACAGGAGCAACCAAGTAAATCCAGAAATGTCCAAAACCAATCATGAATAATTTGGTTATCTGCAAGACTGAGGCTTGCTAAGCTTTGTTATATCAATCCAAAGCCAATAAGCCATCCTATGGCTTAGGGCAGTGTGCAAATCCAACCAGACTTGAGCTGGTTTTTGGATTGTTCAGCATACTGCAGTTAAATTCTGGCTTAGTTTAGGAGTAGGCAACCAACAGTCTGCATCAATCTTCAGACCTCAGTGCTCCAGCTCCCAGAATCCTCACCTGGTGTGGTGTTGTATTTTGGTGGCAATCTTACTAAATTCAGAAGTCTAGTCTCTTGTTTTTCAGCTGCTCCGCGCACATCGGATTGCCTTGCACTGAGTCTCTAGCCAATATTGACAACATTGACTGGCAGTGGCTGTTGAGGATTGTAGGCAGGAAGTCTTCCCCTTCAGACTAGAGATTTAAAAGATACATGACTGGATATTCAATATGCAAAGGATGCTCTGTAGTGGGACGAAGGGCTATGGGAACAATCCTTCATACAAGAAAGCAGGGGGGGGGAATCATGTTCACAGAACACTGATTATGAACAAAAAAATTTAAAGCATACATTATGTATAGGTTTAGTTGAAATAAACCTGAGGTGCTTGCTTCGGAACAGAGGTGTATAGATCTTGTCTGGAAATAAAATTCAAAATACTGTTCAAACTAATACTAAGAGATTCTGTATGTCTAAATGTCATCAAGTGATGTGACAATTGATTTTGTTACATTTTCCTCGGCAAGATGGATGTAAAGCCAAAGAAGATAAATACACCTTTCCCAAGGCTTGGATTTCCCATTCTATCCATGAGCATTCAGATATGTTAAACTCTTTGTAAATGGTTTTCAAAGGATGGGTTTGTTCTGTGAAAAAGCAAACAAATAACTTCTTTCATTTAATATAGTTTTTAGAAGGCCCACTTCTGAATGGGCTTTATTGGAACACCTGGTATACTGAAAATTCCACAAGTAGCTTCAGAAACAGTAGCCATATTTACTATGAGAACTTACTCCTCGGAGTAGCTCAGATCCGGCAATTGAAAGTCCGTAACAACACTTGCTCCGTCTATCCTTCTTTTCGTGCATTTATGAAAGAATGCTATGGGCAGTATCGCTACGTACATGAAGACAGAGAAAGTTTTGGTTTTAAAAATGATTCCGCGTAAGTATAAATTACATCTCAGGTTTGTTTGGTTTTTCCCCCCCCTGATTCCTTCATTTTACATGTAGCTTAACAAACTCTGATTGTGGGATTTGACTTCCTCTCAGGCAAATCCCATTATTTCATTATTTAAATTGTTCAAACTCTGAAGCAATGCATGCTTGTGAGCTGATTTAATAACTTTATGCTAAGCTTGAGTCCAAACTTTCTGTTGCTAAGCAAGACAGTTATTAAGTGAGCTTTCCCCCATTTTACGACTTTTCTTACCACAATTGTTAAGCGAATCGCTGCAGTTAATAAGTTAGTAACATGGTTGTTAAGTGAATTTGGTTTCCCCATTGACTTTGTTTGCCAGAAGGGCACAAAAGCTGATCAAATGACCCCAGGATACTGCAGTTGTCATAAATATGAATTTTGATCATGTGACCATGGAGATGCTACAGCGGGCGTAAGCTTGAAAAATGGTCATAAGTCACTTTTTTCAGTGCTATTGTAACTTTAATGGTCACTAAATGAATTTTTGTAAGTTGAGGACTACCTGTACTTCGGTCCTGATTGTGTCTTGCTTCTATCTGCATTTGTATGGGGAAAAAGACTTCCATTTGCATCAATGGCAGTTTTTTTGTCTACTGCACCTGCGGGTACCAACTGTTGCTTTACTATTTACTGTTGGAATGCTTTTATCACTTTTAACTGTAGAAGACTAGATTAATACCCTTCTGTCCACCAGGTGGCAGTACTACAGTTCTCCTACTCTAGCTCCCTGGCATTGGGGCCTTATTGGTCTGTATAGTACTGGAGGATTTATGTTCATCCTGAGCAAATCAAAGGAACAAAGCTTAAAGATGGTAACCTTCCTCAAGGAAAACAGCTGGATCACCCGAGGAACAAGGGCTGTCTTCATTGATTTTTCAATGTACAATGCTAATGTTAATCTCTTCTGCATAGTCAGGTGAGCTCTTTTAATCACTCTGCTTTATGTGTCCTACTTTTGAGAGAAATTTACTGAAATACCTGCGTTGTTGGGGATGACTTGATTGAGTGCCAGATGAAAGTCCTCATTAAAACAACAGTTGAGACTTTCAAGCAGTTACAGTTTTGACTGGAGATACGATTATAGCCAGATGTTTCCTTCACCCATTTCTTGTAGACATTATCCTTCATTCAGGGGTCTTCAGGTCTACAGCTTCTCCAACTCTTAATTCCCATTTCCATATTGAGCTTCTACTTGTTTCTAGAACATATTCTTCAAAATTGCATTCCTCACCTCATTCTTCTGCCTCTGCCTGCTTGTTGCACTCTGTCAATTCAAAACTCAACTTCTTCATTCTGGACTTCTGGCATCATCCCTGCCTTGACTATTCCTCAGCGCTCCATGCATTCTGTTGAGCTGCAGGAATTCCATGAAGATCTTCCTGTCAACTTATGCTGGTTTTTTTGTTCTTTTTTTAGTTGGGTATATATAGACCAAATCATCATCCTTATCATCAAAATTCATATTTACAGAAATTTGTATAATTAAAAATCAACAAATGGCTATAATAATTAGCCGCGCAAAGTTGAAATAACAGCAACACCTATATTCTTGGTGTGGGGTTTGTCATAGTTCCATTTAGCTTACATCTTAGGAGACCCGCAGTCTCCCAGATACACAGAGGGCATCATTGTTTTATTTTCACAGGCTGACTATGGAGTTTCCTGCAACAGGTGGCGTAATCCCTTCTTGGCAGTTCCACTCTGTAAAACTTCTCAGATACGTCACATATTATGATTATTTTCTAGCCTCCTGTGAAGTTATCTTCTGCCTTTTCATCTTCACATTCCTTATTCAAGAATTTATAAAAATGAGGAAACTGAAAGGAGATTATTTTAGAAATGCTTGGAATTGGCTGGATATGTTGTTGCTCTTGGTAAGTTTCAGCATTTCCGTGTCACTGATTTAGAAAATGGGTTTTTTATCAGATGCCAAGGTGGATAAGAGGAGAGTAGAAAACTGTTTCTTTCTGTCCTGCCTTGACTGTCCTATTTGAGGGCATAACTACATTGATCCAATGAAAGATAAAGCCTGACGTCATAAATCAGAGGAGGTTTTGCCATAATGTACTCCTCTGTTTTGGAACACCGAAGAACAAAGAGAACAATGCAAAGAATTGCACCTTGGATCTCTGGGAGATAAAGTCCCAAAAGCAATGCGTGGAAAGGCATTAAAGGAAGAGGGATCCTGACCAGTCATAAGTTATAGCCCATATTTGGGCCTACATTGTGGTGATAAAGGTAGCAAAACCCTATTATTTGCCCTCACTTTGTCTGCTGATAGCTATCAGTACTAAGTGGCCCTTTTCAGGGTGATTCATTGTGTGTGGGCTGGATCTTGACTATCTAAGAAAAAGTCACACTGTTTGACAGATGAAGTCACTCAGATCCATCAAAGACAGGCCCAAGAGGTTATCTGAACTGAGTTCAGTTCTGTGATTCCAGAGGAAGTAGACAAAATCCTCCAATCTGTCAGTTCAACCACTTGTTTGTTCGATCATGGCCCCTCCTGGGCTGTTATGACAGCCAAAAGGTTGTCTCTTGGAGGCTCTTGGAGAAACAAGTTATTTGAACCTGTTGGCAGTCTTCAGACCAAAGTATATTATGGGACAGTGCTGGTCGTGCTGATTGATGACCTTTGATGGAGTGGTGCTGCTGGTGGTGCATCCATTCTGGTGCACAGCAGTTTCCAAGGTCATGGCATCCTTCTGGACTAATTGAAGAGAGTGGGAGGCAGTGTGTTGCAGTGCTTCACCTCCTTACCCAGTGGTTGATTCAATGCAGTGCTGACAGAAGGAGAGATAGATCACATTCACTGCCCCTCGTCTATTCTTCTCCTGTTTAACATTTATATGAAACCACTGGATGAGGTCATCCATCATTTCTTGGTTTGGTATTACCAGTATAGTGATGATATCTATCTTTACATTCCTATCCTGTGCTGTGCAAATGAAGCTATCGAGGTACAGGCCCAATGTGGAGGCTGTTTGTGGTTAGATGGGGAGGAAGAGACTATGGCTCAGTCCTGACAAGACAGAATGGCTGTGGCCATTAGGCTCTGCTGGGCCAGTGACATTGTGTGGCCCAAATTCATACACCATTCATGGAGAGAGATTGTTACCAAGTGTCCTGCCTGGATGGCAGATTCAAGTCTAGCAAGGCATTATGTGGTGTATCCTGGTACTTGCCATTTAACATAATGCTCAGCCTGGAATTGGGTCTAGAAGCTTACTATTAACCAGTAGAGCAATTCTAAAATTGATATTCTGCCCAGAACAGCAATTTAGACACTGTAGCTCATACTGTATCAGCTGCAATTTCTATATTGTCTCCATGGCAGCCCCATATAAAAACCATTACAGTAGACCAGTCAAATGCTGACCAGGGATGAGTTAGTTATCAGGACATCCTGATTCAGATAAGGTTAGAAGCTGGAGCACCAAGGAGCTCATGTTCAATCCTGAGCTACATATATTCCCTTCTACTGGTACAATAGACCTTCTCTCTGGCAGTTCCCATGTTTTAGAATGTTGCCCCCCCCCCATGGAGATACATGTGGCTCTTACCTTCTTTGTATTTTGAAAACAACTAAACTCACTACTATTATGTGTTTCAGGGTGCTTATGGTGCTGATTATGGGTGGCCATCACAGGAATTATTAATTGTGCTGATTGTAATTGATGGATTGTTTTGCTTTCTTTGCCTTTGTTGCATTTATATTATGTTTTAATGTAGAGTATAGTTGTCGGCTGTCTCCACAGTAATTTTGCATAAGACAGCTTATATAAAATGTCAAATAAATTTCATTACTAGTTTAAAAAGGCTTCCCTTTAGGAAAAAAAATCACTAAATGCTAAAATACTGAGTAGCAGAGCATGATGTTTCATAAAGTCATAGAAGTCTTACAAGTATTTTACCTGCACTCTGTAATTTTAATAAATATGTGATTTGCAGACATAAATTGATTTTCTCGATTGTAGCCTTACAACCCTCTGCTTTTTCTCTCCTTCAGTTGTCGTTGTTTGCTATTGCTTTCAATGTTTATCGAACGGTTGAAGTATCCAGGCTTATGGAAAATCTGCTCTCCAATTCAGATTCTTATCCAGACTTTTATTTCCTTGGATTTTGGCAGACCCGTTACAATAACATGATTTCAGTGAATGTCTTCTTTGCATGGATAAAGGTACTGCTATTAACCTAATTTGGTGTCCTAATATTGGTTTTTTTTTAAAAAAAAAAGTTAATCACAACAAACTAGAAAGAGAGAACAAAACATTCTAACCCCATTGTAAAGTTTAAGGAATATTTGCATTTTTTTTCTCACTTATGCTAATTTGATCAGGCTTCTATCCTGGAATGTGGCTGCTGTTTTTGCTTTATCGACATGTTGACAGAGAATAAGAAATCACGATAAAGCCAGTGGCATAATAAACTGAGTGAAAAAGAAACACCTGCCTGCCTGTACTCTGTAGCTTTTGCCTATGTTACCTGCCAACCCGCCCATCCCCCATAGCATCACCTTTGTCACCTGTCTACTGGCTGACCTGCTACTCTGAGGCGCAGCTTCAGCACCTCTTCTTGTGTCAGAATCATGTACAGTCCTTGCCTAATAACCACAACCAGGGCTGTCACTAAGTAGCATGGCCACATGATGTTTCACTTAATGACCATTTAGCTTAGCAATGGAAATTCTGGTCCCAGTTGCTATTGTAATTTGAGGACTACCTGCAAATCATGCCAAGGAAGCTCTTTTAGATACACTAGGGCCTACTTAATGATGATTCTAAAGGTTATGACCAGCCGTTTCAATCAGAGCTGGAATGGGACTAGAAGCTGGCAAATCAGTCTAGAATATTCACAGGAATAACCTCTGAAATCCTTATATAAATCCTTTAGTGGATCATTTTGTTCCTCTAGTTCTTTAATCTCAAACTAACTGGTGTGCTTTTGCAGTTTAATATTGATTTCCTGAGGGATATGTTTTAAAGCTCTTTAAGATTTAAGACTATGTGGTAGAAGTTGGTCTTAGCAACATTGTAATGTTCTCTATTTTTTCTTTGTCTTCCAGATATTTAAATACATAAGTTTTAACAAGACAATGACTCAGCTGTCTTCTACTCTGTCGCGCTGTGCTAAAGACATCATAGGATTTGCCATCATGTTTTTTATCATCTTTTTTGCGTATGCACAGCTGGGCTACCTGGTCTTTGGGTCGCAAGTGGATGAGTTTTCCACTTTTCAGAATTGCATGTATGGAACATTCTAAGTTATCTAATACTGTTGTTTCACTGGATCATTAGCTAGAGCAGAATTTTCTTTAGAGGAGGAGCAGGGAACTAGAGGCACTTGATACAGCTGGTCCTCAACTTACAACCACAATTGGCATGGGAAATCTGGTCTTTGAGCGAAACACTCCTTAAGTGGGACATTATGTGACTGCTTTGCTCAACAGCTGTAATTCCAGCATTCCTGGTACATACAATATCCTTGCTGCAGTCAGTATATATATAAAACCAAAGTTCCATAATTTCAAATCCAAGCGGGCACACAGCTCAGTTCTTTGCAGGCAACTCTTTCAGAGTGGAAGAGCTGCTTACTGAAAAGATTTCAGCCCCCAGTGATGAGAAGAGAGCCAGCCCTCCCTGCCCCCAAGATAAGAGGGAGTCTTCTGGGCAGGCAACAACACCTACAGGGCCTTCCCTGCTGGCTTCCCCACTGAGTTTCCAGGTATGCGGACAGAGAAGATTGCATGGAGATCACATGATTGTGGAGCACTTGACAAATGATTGTAAATGCAAACAGATTGCTAAGCACCCAGATCATGGTCTATAGGCTATAAAGCAGTGATGGCGAACCTTTTAGAGACCGAGTGCCCAAAAACTGGCCCTGCCTTCACCCCCTGCCCCGCCCCCACCCCGCCTGCCCACAGGGCCACTCACCACCTCCAGGGCCCGCCGCAGATCGCACAGGCAGCCCAGCAGCGCCATGGCGACCATCAACTGCGCAATCGGGCGTGAGGGCAGAGTCTTGTCTTTGCTGCTTGGCTGCCATGTCCTTGGCTGTGCTGCTCCACATGGGCCACACTCGGGGGCGACTCTCCAAGGGGGCTTCTGGTGAGGGGGGGTCACGAGGGGAGGCAAGGCTGGGGCAACAGCATGTGTGCCCACAGAGAGGGCTCCGAGTGCCGCCTCTGGCACCCGTGCCATAGGTTCACCACCTCTGCTATAAAGCATCCCTTCCAAAGTTGTTAATTTGAAATGTCGTGAAGTGAACAGTTAGACCGAGACTTCCTATAGTGGCCTCTTGTGGAGTTCTGGGATTACCTGACGCTTCTGAACTCCACGAACCCTTCTCAAAATGTGTGAATTAGAATAGCAAAATAGTATTGGAAATATTCCATCAGAGCACATCTGGGCATTTGACAGTCAACGGGCTACATACGGACCCTTTGAGTGTCTCTATCTAGCCTGCGGCGGTGGGGGGGAAAGGGTGGAGGTGGAGCAGCAGTGGCGGCCCTCCACTGCAGTCCCAACACTTTCTCATGTGTGGCCCCTTGGGAAAATTAATTGCCCATCCCTGCATCAGAGTGATACTCTACTCCTTGCCAGTTTTTTTTAAGGCTGGTAGGCTAGGAGACAAAAATCTGCTGTTCTATGACTTGTGTCCCTAAAATCTAAAGTACTCCTTTATATTAGTCAAATTATTCCAATTGTTAAGGACCCTCTTTGCCAGATCATTGTCTAGGATAATCACTGCAAAGCCTCAGTGAACATGGTAACAAAGCATGTGACTACCACAGAAATTTTTCCCTTGTGCCAAGAATACCTTTGGAGCCAAAATGAGATGCAAGACTATTAGCATTCTGGAGGTTAATATTTTGCTTTACAGCAAACCACCTTGCTTCTTAATGTTGTTTGAATTATATTATTTCAAGAACATTAAGTAGGGAGGGCAGAAGGTCTGGCAAATAGCATAGGAAATGTTCATGAGTACATGAGTACCCATTTGGTAAGGGAGAGCTAGACACGCATACACACGCAAGTATCCATTATATTTTTCTCCTCACATCATTTCACCCTTTTCATATTCAATTAAAGGTTTCTTTGAAAGTAAATCATTTTCCAGTTTGGAAAACTTTCAGAAACAAATTGAGTAGGTAGTACTTGGTATAGTTCTGCAAGCAGGACATAACCAGTATCATGATTTTTTTGTTTTGTTTTCAAAGCATCTTCCTCCTACCATTGGACAGTTTTAGGAGATTTGTTGGCATATATCTAAAATAAACATTATTTGGTCCTATTTCACCAGATAGGCTTGGAAGCTAATGATAGTAACTCACTTGTAATCAGTGGTTCTTCATATTAGTAACTTTAGTATCAATTATCTATTGCAGAATAATTTACACAAGTTTAACTCCAAAATAAGTTCTGTGTTCAGTGGTACCAAATAACTGTATAGGATTACAATCTCAGTAAGAATCTTAGAATCTCATACTCAGTATATTTTTTGCTTCCTCCTAAGTTTTACCCAGTTTCGTATTGTACTCGGAGATTTTAATTTTGCCGACATAGAACATGCAAATCGAATTCTTGGGCCAATTTACTTCATCACCTTCGTATTCTTCGTATTCTTTGTATTGCTGGTAAGTGCAAACTTGGATAACTGAATCAGTTTGCAAAGTTGGGATTACTTTTCCAGGGCTGCACAAATCCTGACAGCAATTGGCTAGAAAATACATATTGTCTAGCTCGGGTAGGCAACCCAAAACACTCAAAGAGCCACTTGGACCCGTTTCCCACCGAAAACAAAACACCGGGAGCTGCAAAACCCTTTTGATACCTAAAATGAAGATAACACTGCATATATCCTTTTTTACCTTTATTATAGAGGTGTGTGTGCGTGTACACAACACAGGTAAAAAAGGATATATGCAGTGTTATCTTCATTTTAGATGTCAAAAGGGTCTCTCTCTCTGTGTGTGTCTCTCTCTCTATTTGCCCTTGGTCTGCCAGTCCTCTTCCCCCACTCTCTTTCTTTCTCTCTCTCTCTTTCCTCTCTCCCTCCCTCCCTCTCTCTCTCTCTCTTTCTCTCCCCCCCTCTCTCCCTCTCTCCTATCTGCTGCTCACCTGGCAAGCTGGCTTCAAGTTGTTCTCCAACAAGCTCAGGGGTAGGCAACCTCTGCTGTTTTATGACTCATGGACTTCAACTCCCAGAATTCCTGAGTTAGCATAGCTGGGCTAGCTAGCTCTCTCCTGCCCTTCCTGCTTCCTGCAGAGACGCAGCAAAGGGAGGAGCTCTGCCCAATAAGCTTTTCAGCTCCTAGGAGAACACTGTGAGTGCATTCTCTTTTACTTACACACACACACAAAAAAAAAAAAAAACACAGAGAGAAGCAGGAAAGCGCAATTACCTCTCTCTGTCTCTGTCTCTCTCTGCAAATGGCAGAGGAGGCTGGGAGCCACAGGGGAAGGCTCAAAGAGCCGCATGCAGCTCCAGAGCCGCAGGTTGCGGCTGGGGGTCTAGCTGGTGTTGGTAAAGAAATTGCAATTTGCAAAGAGGCCCATAATTAATGTCTCTTTTTAAGTGGGCTCTAAGATACATACCGATAACCCTAGCCTCTAATATAACCTAGTTCATATTAGTAAAGTTGGAAGGGACCTTGGAGGTCATCTAGTCCAACCCCCTACTCGGGCAGGAAACCATCATTTTGGACAAGTGGCTGTCCAGTCTCTTCTTAAAAACTTCCAGTGTTGGAGCATTTACTGCTTCTGGAGGCAAGCTGTTCCACTGATTAATTGTTCTCACTGTCAGGAAGTTTCTCCTTAGTTCTAGGTTGCTTCTCTCCTTGATTAGTTTCCACCCGTTGCTTCTTGTCCTCCCTTCAGGTGCTTTCAAAAATAGCTTAATTCCCTCTTCTTTATGGCAGCCCCTGAGATATTGGAATACTGCTATCATGTCCCCCCTTGTCCTTCTCTTCGTTAAACTAGACATACCCAATTCTAGCAACCGTTCCTTATATCTTGTATATAAACCTTAGAAATCCTGGCTCTGATGGTTGGCCTGGGGACCAAATGGGGAATTCCTTACTGGAAGTGGCTGCTGGATTGATGGCAGACTTCACCTCGCCTTCCTGCTCTCTACTCTCCACCCATCCATCTTTTTGGTTATCATATTGATGCATTCTCGTTGTGTTCCTTTTTCATTTTTTTATTTTCTGGGTTCTCCTATTTCTGTTTACATTCCTTTCATTTTCTTTTTTTATTATTATTGTAAGCCGCCTAGAGTAGCCCCACAGCGAGATAGGCAGCGAATAAATTTAACAAATAAATAACAACTAAGAGGCTGATAAGATGGAGACATGATTATTCCTGAGATTTCTGGTGGAAAAAAAGGGGGATTTTGAATCTGAAAGACCCAGGATACCTGTAGTGATACCGGTCATTCTTGCCTAATCCTAATACCTATCATTGTCAAAAAAAAATATTATCAGTGACACAATTATCCTAGTGCATTTTTCAGTAAGTGTAGATAGTTCTTCAGGTGTGACAAACAGTTCACCAGGATTCAAATCCCTATACGGGATCTCCTGTTTCCCAGCAAAAAATGTACATTTCATAGATGCAGAAGAATATAATGCTTAACTCTATAGTCTTACAAATGAATCAGTGCATATTCTCCCAAGAATATCAAGTGTTTTCTGAAAATTGTAATATTTGGTAAAGGTATCCCTGCTCCAATTACATGTATAATTTCTGGTCCAACAAGTGAAATTAGAATATTGGATGAAAATATGGGAGATTGGGTTTTTGTTTTTAACTAAGTAACTCCACTAATTTTCTCAGATTAATCTTGGGGTTATCGATAGGGGCAGTTCATAGGAAAGTAGGCATGACTCTCGGGGATAAAAATGCTGTTCATGATTTCTACCGAGACCTAAGAAGATGAGAAAATCAAAGTAAAATCAATCTACCTCACTCCAAGTGAATTAAACTGTTCAGGATCTAAGACTTCGTTCCTATGACTGTTGACTTGAGAATTTAAAAGGAAAAGTCTTGTGAACCTCACATAGTCTGTTTGAAGGAATCAGCTGTGTCACAATTGGAAATATTAAAAACAGGATATTACCTTTTGTGCTGCCTTATAAGCAGATGGATGAGATTCTGTGAGTTTTTAAATACATTTTTATTGCTGTAATTTACTGAGATTTAAAAAAGAAGAGGATAAATTAGCTCTAGAAAACCCCACTAGATATTCAGCAACAACTGGTGTACTGTGCAAAACTCTATACCAGGGTTAGGCAACCTTGGCTCTTTTATGACTCGTGGACTTCAACTCCCAGAATTCCTGAGCCAGCCATGCTGAGGGGAAAGGGAGAGGTTTCCAAGCTGAGCCATGCTGGCTCAGGAATTCTGGGAGTTGAAGTCCACGAGTCATAAAATAGCCAAGGTTGCCTACCCCTGCCCTATACCCACCACTGAAATATTCTTGCTTTCATTCAGATTGACAGGCTTGGGCAAAATCAAGTGAGTAAACTTGGTTGGGAAGCTTGCTTTGAACTTCTTGAATAAAGCCAGATTTCAGACTGAGGTCCGAATCCTCATCAGGTCATCAAGAAAAGTATTCTTACTGGGTAAATGATAAATAACAATCAGGAATGCCAACCAACAAGATTCACTCCTTTGGTGCCTGTGCAGTAAGAAAATCTATTTGGCTAGGCCTGTGTTTCTCAACCTTGACAACTTTAAGATGTGTGGACTTCAACTTTCAGAATTCACGCGCGCCTTGTGGGCACAGCTATGCTGGCTGTGGAATTCTGGAAGTTGAAATCCACACATCTTAAGAGTTGCCAAGGTTGAGAAACACTGAGCTAGGTTACTATAAGCATGATATATTCTGATATGAATGCTCTATTTTTTTTAAAAAAAAGTTGCACTGCTCTGTATTATTGATTATCCTGGAATCGATATGCTTCGCTTTGGAACATCTTTGAGATTCTTACATATTTGTGCATTATTTGTTCACATTATGTTTTCCTTTTTTCCCGTGTAGAACATGTTCTTGGCGATCATCAATGACACATACTCTGAAGTGAAAGCTGACTTTTCAGTAATTCCAAGCAGAGAGTTTGAGATCAGCGACCTTATAAAACAGGTAAGAACTTAAACCATGTCCTGCGCATTGATATTCTGGCAACCTTGTAACTTTTAGTTCAAGGAATAGTTAAATGCTACTGATAACTTGTTTTTCTCAATGCTTTATTTAAAAAGTGCATCACAAGAAATTGTATTTCTTGAATTGTTTTTCAGAGCACATGAATAGCAATGAATAGACTATTGCTGCTTCATTGATACTTTACAGAATAAAAGGAGGGATGTTTTGTTGCTGTCTGTGAAATAAAGTAAAATTGCGTTTCGATTCCTAGGACCTTAGAGTAGATTCCCATATAAGCCAAAATTCTCTATCTTGGGATAACGTTGCCCATATTCTGATCTGAAGGCATATTTAAACTTTTTTTTATCATGATTTATGATAATGTAATATTTTTCTTATAGAAATGAACATGCAAAAACATACAAACACTTGCTTGGTCATCCTGTGGAGTTACGTTTCTATAGAGAAAGTCAGTAGGATCACAATCAAGGCGATTCTCTAGAAACTCTTGTCATTGTGTGGGAGAAACATTTTCTAACAGTAGTTCTATTTCTGGATAGTTACTGAAAAATTGTTGTTGCTTTTTGAATTCCAGGAGGTTTTGTTCTTTCTCATGTGTTGTCTAGCTTCTTTGTGAAAGTGCTAAGAGAGATCATCCAGATGTTTGCTCTGAAGCTCCACCTTCTTCAGGCATGTCAAGCTCGCGACGTCATGTGACATCACGTGATGTGACTTTTTCTCCATTGCTGGCAATGGGGTGGGTGTGGCTTCAGCGTGACACATCTGGCCCATGGGCTGGCAGTTTGATATGCCTGACCTACTTTGTTTTTTTTTCTCAGAGATGCTGGGAACGTCCAGGATCAGCATCACTTTTGATGAGAATGGAGACTCAAACTAGATAATTCAATGGTATTCTCAGGGCCAAATTTAGCCACCTAAGTGTAGGGTGATGAGTTTGCTGTAGATGGAACTCACATTCCCCTCAAGATTTCAGATTTATTAGAGACGCAAGTGATTCTTGTGGCTTAAAGCATCTTTCCCATATGCCAACTTTAAGCTTATCTGACTGGAAAAAAAAGTGACAATAGTTAACTGTGCCTTGGTAATCGTCTGTTTTCCTCACTGCAAAATACCTATTGTGTGCAATTACCTATAACACGGATAAGGAAACTTCAGTTGGTCCAGAATAGAATTGTTAAGTCTTTAAATAGAACTCCGTGTTTCAAACAAACTTGTGTTTTCTCAACTGCCTCAGCTCTTAGGTTGCTTCCAGGTCCAGTTTCAAAATACCAGTCAATTATAAAATTTTACAAAATACTACCTTCTTCTATACTGAGATTTCCTTCAGAGGTCCTGTTTTCAAATCACTGTCAACTGAAATGTTGTGGTTAAGAATGGATACCTTTGTTAGTGATACCCTACTTGTGGAATATTTTTCCCAGAGAAATTATGACACCAAATGAAGATTTTATATAATTACAGGTAGTCCTCAACTTGCAACTTAGCAATCAGTCAGAATTACGATGACCTGGACCTATTTATAACCTGGATTTAAAGTTCTGATGACCTAGATTTGAAATTCTGATTAACAGTCATTTGCAGCATTCTAGTCACGTGACCACAATTTGTGTCTTTTTTTGCTGGAAACCGAAGTGTTGTGGGTTCCTTTCTTAACCACAACACTTCAATTGACAGTGAATTGTTTACTTCTGGTTTCTGCTAAAAAATGCCCAATAGCGAGCAATAGGCTTACTTAATGTTACATTTGCTTAACAACTCCTGAAAAAGTTGTACAATGGGGCAATTATGTGATCACCTGCTTAATAACCATCACGATTTATGATTGAAATTATAGACTCAGTATCAGTTGTAACTCTAGAACTACCTGTAATGTAATTGTTTTGTGTCATATTTCATATCACTTTTACTTGTTTGGCTTTGTGTTTTCAGTTTTTTATATTTGATGTTTATTTTAATTTAAGCCTTTCATTGAACCATTTTTGAAAGCCAGATGTGATATAAATCCAGTAAAGAAATCCATAGTTTGCATAATTCAATATTCAAGAGGATCTTTAGTGGCACAAATAAGTGTGATATTGTGAAGAGCTTTTATTGAGTTGGCTTTTTCTTCTTATTTAAGTTTTCTGCTCAGACTAAATGTTCAGTTGTTCAGTTATTGGGTACTTTAGGCAGTCCATACAATTAAAAATGCACCTTTCCCTCATACTGGTATTGAAACTTTTTTCCCCATTCCAACCCCAATTAATCCTAAAGTAATTTACTTAATCTGTGTAATTTATTTTAAATGGCCAGCGCAAAGGCTATATTATAGTATGTTGTCATTTATGTTCTCCTGAACTAATGTTACTCAGTTGTTGGTTTTTTGGCCATTCTTACCATATATATATAACCAAAACTTAATTTCTATCTTCAGTAATACTAATTTTGCTGGGATTTTGTTTAACTCCATCTACTTTACAAGTATATTTCAATCTTTACCAGATGGAGTAACCTGCAATATGTTATATTTTCAGTACAAAAGGATACTGTTGTTTTTTTCATTGCGGAATTTGGTGCATGCTAAAATCATTTTGTATCCTTTAATCAAATTAAGCTTGACCAGTGTTTCCTACATTCCCCCACATGAAGCCTGTACATATCACAACTATGATATCACAACTAGTTCCATTTAACAATCCTATTTATTTCTTTTGTTTAGGGTTACAATAAAGCTTTAGTCAAACTCAAACTGAAAAGACAGCCATCAGAGACAGAAGATGTATATTTGAAAAAGTGGGTATCAAATTTCAGGCATTCTGCCACTTTAGTTTAATTTTCTAGCTAATGTTCTTATTCATACATATGATCCTAAAGAGTGATGGATACCAATATTTTTGTTCCACTGAGCAAGACTCTTCAGGATAGATGAGGAGGCATTCTGATGTGCAGCTAAGTCAGAGAATCAAGCTTTTAAAGGCCAATAAGGCAGGTTGGGATTTCCAAAGTCATCTCCCACAAAAAGCTCTCAAGATGCTTCCAGACTACCATAAAACACTCATTTATCAGCAAACCAATGTGATTGCTTCTCTCCAGCCTTCCAGGAAGTCCCTCCTATTTCAGCTTATTCCTGTTGTGTTTCTAAGCAGGTGGGAGCTTTTTGAAATAAAATACTGGCCAGTAGCCACTCACTGTCTTGTTTTCTAAATGTGCCTGTATAATCACAAGATCAATACTACTATTGGAAGTAAAGATTATATGGGATTTTGGATCACAGCAGGTAAGAAGGAGTTACCTTATCATTTTATTATGGGCCATTCCCATTTCCCACTCTTGATAGCCAGTTAGGACTGGGTCCTTTACCTGTTCTGAGTATTTCAAAGTTGGAAATAGTTGGAAAGCCTGCCTACCTAGGTCCAAGATAGGAAATCACAAAGGAGCCATGGGTTTCTATAAAATATCACACTAAACCACAGCTGAAAAAAATGAATCTCTCCAAACCATAATTTCAAATTTAGCTTCTTAAAATGAGAACATTGACCTAATCCAACTAAGGGTCTTCTGTTGCTTGTGGCTTAAAGAGTCTTTATAGTATCATCCTAACCATTGCTATAGTCCTATCAAGACAGAAGACTTTGTGAGTCGCTAGTGGAAAAATAACCTAAGCCATCCCACATTATGGCATTGCACAATATATGGACCCAGAGACCTCTTGCTCATCCCCTCCCTCCTTTCATGCCTTAGTAATTAATTTATTCAGTCACAAGTCTCATTTGAGACTCTGAGCTTCTATACTACCTCACCTGGTGAGGTAAGAATGATCAGCTGCCTCCTTATGAAGTATTCCATATATTGGTGCTTCAACATCTATATGAAACTGTTGGAAGAAGTCATTTGGTAGTTTACAATATAATTCTGTCAATACGCTGTCAATCTTCAGCTTTATATTGCAATCCTGTGCTCAACCAAAGAAGCCACACACATTTCCCCAGGCATCTGGAAACTGTGAGAAACCCAGTGAGATGAAACAAGTTGAAATTGATCCTTAGCAATATAAAGTTGCTGTTTGCACATCATGGTTCCCCTCCAGCTCCAGGGTTGTCTCTCACCAAGGTATAACTGTGCCTGAAATAACAGGACCGCAACTTGGGTGTCCTTTTATACACATAGCTACTACCTAGTGGCCAAGCAAGACATTTCCCAGCTTTGCTTTGTATGCCAATTGCAGCTCTTCTTGGAGCCCAAGACCTGAATTCCTCATTAACACAATTTGTCTGAATTTCTGTAATAAGTTCTATGGGGGCTGCTATTGAAGGCCACACAAAACCTTCCAGTTAGTCCAAAACGCAGTGGCTCACTTGTTGACCAAAAGTTGTCATCCTGATCATTATTTCATCTTTTCTGTGGGCTCTCCATTGGTTTTTGATATGTTTCTAAATGTAATTCAAATGACCAGGTATTTTTTTAGATTTATGTTGTATTTCTGCTGTGTTAGCTATAAGACCTATGAATGGAATAAATGTGATACAAATTGAATAATAATAACAATAACAGCGAATGATAGAACTAAATGTGACAGATGCTATTTTAAATCCACGCACGGCTCATTTACTTGTTTATAAGTCCTCTTAAGTTCACGGTGCTTGGGTTTTCTTTGCCGATTAAAAACAACCAAAAAACCAAGCTGGTCAACGTCTGAAACAAAGGACTGCACAATTACTCTTGGCGAGCAAACCGGATAGGTACTGTGCTATGATGGAAGAGGTCAATCTTTGTTGTTTGTATTTAATATTTTCCTATCCTCATTTACACCCACAGTCTCTACTGCATTGGTTGCTGACTATGAGGGATGGAAACTGTTACAGCCAATGGCATCATAGCAACTTGAAATAGATGGCGCTGTGAGACAGAAAGGCAGCAGTAGCTGCCAGGGAGGTCAAACCATCAGTCTGATGAAAGCAGTGTCCCACTGCATTCACATCGAGAAAGGGCCTGAGCTTCTTTTGCAATGATGCAACGGAGCTTTGACAAAACAGCAGGAGTGATGAAGCCCCAGGGAAAAAGATACAGCAAACAACAAGAGGCAGGCTTTTTTGACTATGTATAATGTAGCCTATGATCAGTCCTATCCAGTAGAAACAAGCATATCCACTCTCTCCATTTAGATTAATTTCATCAGGACCTCTCCTTTTTTTTTTTTTTTTTGTAGTATATGGGTATTAAAATGTCGTACCTAAATAAATTCTTGGGTTTTATTCCTCCTTTGCATGACCATCTCTAGACTGGATACAAGTAGGAATGTCTCCAAAATTGGCGACAAGGTAAGTGTCATATGATTCTTTCCACTTGACCAAAAAAAAAAAAAAAAAAAGATAGAGACAATTATTTTCAGTGGTTTGTATTATTATGAGGCAGCGTAAAGAACGATTTGTGGTACTTAAATACTTAGCAACTTTATTTTGCTTAAACTTTCATCTGATTTTATGCATGTATCTGAGAGTAAATACATATGTAACACATGCATACACATAAACAGGTATTGTTTGCATTTCTATAAAATAGAAATGCAAACAATACCACAATATTTTAACAAGAACCATACTCTGGTTGTCGGCCATTCGAGGTTGTCTCCATTGTGTTGATTAACCTACCATATTTTTCTGTGTATAAGACGCACCCTTGTATAAGACACTCTGGCAAGTTGCAAGCTTACAACAAACAAAGTCAGTGCTGGGAGCAACCGCCTCCCAGTGCTCTAAATAGGCCCTCCCAGCCGGCCCCACCCACCTAACCAGCATCCGGCACGATGAGCATGCATAGTCAGTTCACAGCAACAGCCTTCCGACCCTGGTAAACAAACCGGCGTGAGCACTGGCATGACAGCAAGGCAAGGGAAGCGAAGGCAGGTTTTAAACTCCCCGCTGTTTCTCCACGCCAATCAGCTGTTCAGCCGGCCACTATTATCGAGCAGGATGGCCTCGCAGCTGCGTTCCACAGGGTCTCCGGCCAGCATACAGGTACGAGGGAAGGAAAGGGCTCTCGCTGCCCTCCGTGCTGCTGGTCCCATCCGCTGCCTCCGGACACCGCCATCCAACGATCTTGTCCCTTCCCCCTCCTGTTAGTGGCAAGCCCACAGGGGCTTGACACCTGCACCAGGCGGCATGGCAGCAGCATGTAAAGAACCCACACAGGCAGGCCTGGGCTGTGGAGGTTACCATTATTTTTTCGTGTATAAGACGCTGTGCTTGTATAAGATGCACCTGATTTTTCAACAGGGTGTTTGCAGGAAAAAATAGCGTCTTATACACGGAAAAATACAGTATGTTAAAATAAAAGTTTCCATCTTCCATTTATAGAAGAGATTCAACTTCATGAATTGTTACTCAGCTAGTTTGTGTTGGAATTTAATGTTCTTTATTAAAAATGGCTGCTGCCTTTGCTAGGGACAGATATACTGGAACCCAAAGTACTCTTCCTTGCTGTTTAATGTTTTATCAATGTATATACATTTATTTTGCATATCAACTGGCCCACTTGTCCTCTGAGAAGTGTTCGAGCATATATTTTTCTACAGGCCCTCTTAAACTCACAACTTCTGCTCAAAGTCTATGGAGAGTCTCAGTCATCCAGGTCATGGTTGTCCCAAAAGGCAACTGGATTTTCTTTGTTTTTTTCTCTTGAAGATGTTTCGCTTGTCATCCAAGAAGCATCTTTAGTTCTGAATTCCACACCATTCAGTCAGAACTCAAGAAGCTTCTTGGGTGAGAAGCGAAACATGTTCAAAATCCAATTGCCTTTTGAAAAAGCACCTTTGGGACTCCTACTCAAGGAGCAAGTGGCAGTCACGGCTAGGAAGACCTTTGCACAACTTCGCATTGTGCCCAGTTGCACTCGTTCCTCCATCAAGGGGGCTACTCAGGGTCACTCATGTTCTTTTCGTCTGGACATATAGTTGGATTATTGCAATGTGTTGTACATGGGGCTGCTGTTGAAGAGTATCTGGAAACTTCAGGTGGTGCAAAGTGCAGTGGTGTAAGCAGTTAGGGAATGTTCCTGGGAGCTTACATTATGCCTCTGCTACACAACATGCATTAGTTAAACCAGTTTGTTTCTGGGTCCAATTCAAGGTGCTGGTGTTGATCTTTAAACACTTACATAGCACGGGACCAGGATATTTGAGGAACACCCTCTTCCAAACTTTATCTGCCTGTCCCACCAGATCTAATAGAATAGGCATATTCTGTCAGCTAGAGAGCTACATTTGGCAGGCACTACCTGGTGGGCCTTTTCTGCTATGATGTCTGTATGGAGGAATCTTCTCCCCCCCACCCCCAAGAGATGGGGTCAGCCTTGTCACTCCTGAGCTTTCCAATTCCCTCAGGATCTGGTTATGCCAGCAGGCAGGCCTAGCGACCCCGTTATTATTGACATCCTTCCATCTATTGTTTTTCTTCTCTTGTTTAGTTCTGCTTTTATTGTTTTTAATGTTTTTAAATAAGTATAATAGGTTTTTTTTACGTAACGGGTTTTTTAATATTGTTTTATATTTAATGTTTTATTGGATTGTTGTGCATCGCCCAAAGTCACTTTCTGTGAGATAGCAACCATACAGATTTGATAAACAAACAAATGAATAAAATCTGCCAATCCTAGAGATGACACGTGTCTTTTAGAATCCTGTCAATCATACTGACCAATTTTTTGTGCAGGATCTCACAAGGAGGCAGATTTCCACAGGACAGTATGACACAGTTTCTGCGAGAGACTTTCAGAGGTATGTTGCTGTTTACATCATAACCCCAGTAGACTTCAGCCTTTACAAAAGACCTGGGATTCATCTTTTAGACCATAAGAGATCAACTTGAGATCCCCAATTTGAGATTCCACATTTAAAGTGGAATCTTCAGACAAAATATATAATTCCTGACGCAATCGTAATATATTTTATCAAATAAAACTCCCAAACTGAAATATTAACAAATCTTGGCTCTGCCTGCATTCCATCAGTGTTCTCGATGTGGCTCTCGAACATCATTATGTTACCTACTAAATGCAAATTTAGGGATCTAGCTTTTAATTGTATGGTCATAATACTGCAATTAGCAATTGTTAATGCTAATTATTTTAGGCCCGGTGCTGTCCTCCTTTGATCTAGGTTATTAGAAAATTCAATTGAGGCATTATTTTGGGTTCTAAAGAAAATGGATGTTGGTTGTTAATGTAAAAAAAAGTGCTCAGTTAAGAGTAAGCTTATATGAATACAGGTAGTCTTAATGAATACAAAATGAACAAATAGTCCTAATGAATACCAAAAAAAAGAGAGTCCACTTAATCTTTACATTATTGGGGGGGGGAAAGATTTAGGCTGCAGTTCTGTGCCTATTAATCTGGAAATTTCATTGAATTCAATGAAATTTATATTTACACAATGAATTTGAATTGATATCTGAATTGGTATATACTATTAGACTGCTAAGTAACTAGCCAGTTTTCTTCTGGTTAGTTTTCTTCTGCTATCAGCTTCACAAAGGTAAAAATTCCAGAACTCCCTCAATCTCCTTTGTTATTTTGTTTTAGACTTTCTAGATATGCCGAAGATTTGGAGAGACAACTGAAGGATGTGAATTATAGGCTGGACACAATTATGAAAACTCTCCCTCCAGCTCAGTACCAACAAAGGAACTAGCAAAAGGTGAGGATTTGTTTTACCACTGGCCCCTGGTACAGTGAGAAGCTAAGGTGTGCATTAACAGGCATGGGAAAGGGGGGAGGGGGAGAATGCACATCTGTCTTTGAGTAGTCCTGTTTTCCCAGGGCTTTTCCATTTCAGCTGTTAAAAAGTTTGCTAGATTAATTCACTGGCCCAGTGCCAGAAATGGTACATTCCTGCAGTGGTGTGTTGTCAATATTCAAAGGCAAATAATTTGGAGAATATTTGCTAAAATTAAAAATACCAATGGTAACAGCAAACTTTTTTTTTAGCAGCAGAAATACTGTATTTATAATTAGTAACTATATTTTCTGTATTTTGCTATCAAAGGCGGCTCTTAAACGTATTTCATCTCGCTGTGCCCCTCAGCTCAGGTTGGCATCATTTACCCTTAACAACATAGAGGAAATTCATCTCTGAACTTTTAAACACACTGGGTTTTTTTTACAGAACATTTTATGTGCAAACATAATTCTAGGGGTTTAAAAGGAATTAAGATTCCTTTCCTTAGTCACAAAAGTTCATCCCTATTGCAATTGCAGATACAAGAGACTGGGGTGTGTGGGGAGACTACATTGTTTGTTTTATGCGAACACACTTTGAATTAGGTACAAATTATACGAGGTCTTTGTCCGTTGGTCTTTAATATTAGTTGTACATGTATGTCAGTCATGTCCATAGTTACTTCATGTTTTGATGGAGCAAATATACAAAAAATATAAAATATTGCAGGATTGGTCTTTGAAATGGGAAGTAACCATGGGCAAATTTTTATGTCTGTTATAAATGACAGAAATATGCTTGCTTTTGCTTAAAGACAAGGTTATGCAGCAAAATCTAATTCTCCAGCAAATTTAAGTGCTGCATATCAAATATATTGGATATAGTGAGAGGTTTTTGCCCTACAGCTAGCACAACATTAAAAGGGTGCATTTTCTAAAGAACAAGCATAAAAAGAAAAGTTTATAAGGTACATTTATAGGCCACTTTTCTATAACATTTTCAAAGTGACTTATAAAAAGAAAAATTCCAGTTAATTTCTAATCAGCTTTTAATTATTATCAGTTTGGATAAACCATTGTGGATAAACCACAAGAAAATTAGACTCAAACCTTTTTTTAAACAAACCTTTTTTTAAATCCTAGCAACTCTTAAGAATTACACTTACTAAGATTTAGAGGCAAAACTGCAAATACAAGTGCATGCGCACACAAACACAAAACACAAATATAAATATGACAATAGAAGTTTTTTATTATAAAAATCTATACAATGAAATGCCAGACATGGCAATCATTCATATCTGGTTTATTTATATATATATATATATTTATATCTATATATCCACATATAGTTTTTACTTATACGAAAGTAAAACTGTGTTATCACAAAATGCCTAATTCTACCATTTATTGCTCAATAAAATGGCACAACACACACTCTTAGCATAACTGATGCCATGCTTGCTACAAACAAACAGCCAAACACTGCAAAGCACACACAAAAGCAGCTGTTGATTCTGAAGTGGAACCAATTTGATCACTCTTTATAAAAATATTGGGATCATATAGAATTAAGCATTATAAAGGAGGAATATATTATTTAAAACAAACATTTAAATAGTGCATATTGACATTTTGCATGTGGTAAATAAAACATGTACAACACTATACAGTACACATAGGTTTTGATGTTAGATGCACCAGTGATTGCAAATTGATGGGAAAGTAATTGAAATGTACATTGCACGATGAAGTTGAACAAAAGCTATGGAAAATCTCCAGATTGTTTCCAAATCTTGTAATTCACTACAGTCCACTAAAACTCTTCAGGCTGTATAAAAAGGCAAAACATTAAGAGTATAAATTCATTTTAATTGTCACTTTTGAGTTCCAAAATTACATGCCTAGAATTACAATAAAAACAAGAAACACAACCTATAGAAGTATGGAGTCTCTAAAATCTATTTTCTACCTATTACATGTTAACACATCAATCTGATGTGTTTACATGCCACTATTTCACTGAAGTTCGTTTTCTGGTCTTTCAGAAAAGCAATGAAAAACAATTTGTGTTGGCATTAGCTGTTCATAACACATGCAGCAAATAGGCACATGCAAAAACATGGCCACAAGACAAAATAGATCCGGAAGGTATTCAACACTTAAGATTCAATCCAGTCAAACCACAGAAGCAGGGCCTATGTGCAAAGGATTCCATATAAGCCCTTTTCCTCTGTACTGTATCTCATATGTAGCTACTAAACTCATTTAGAAGGATTTTGGAATGCAGTTTTTTTTTTAAAAAAAAAATCGGCTGCTCTTGTGTTATGCATACTAGGCAAAGAAAACATCAGTTAAAAAAAAAACCCTTGGTTCTGAAGCTTTGACATGCAAAAATTGCGTGATACCTATTTGAGGCAGATCACTTCTCTTTCCATTTCTGTGAATCAAAGTAGAAAGGTTTCTTTCAAAGCTAGTTCTGTCCAGCTTGTTCAATACATAATTACATTAATTGTAGCCCTTGGTAAAATAAGTTTGTTTCAGATACAGCAAAAGTGGTGTAAGCTTACTGAACTGAATGAATCTGAGCACCAACACAAGGGTAAAATGCAGTCTCCAATTCAGACTACACAGTCACCGGTAGACAATAAATAGAAATTAACAGTAATGTAAGTCTTGTAGGCAATATGTGATATAAATGTTCAGGTTTTTCCAAGTTTTAAAAATACAACAAGCAAGGTCACTTTCTGGTTTGTCCATTGTCATCTGAAACCGGAAAATGTACTTTATATTTCAGTATCCATTGATCATTCTACTATACAAAGGATGCCATTTGCAATCAGTTATGCCACACAGTCCTTTGAAAGGCATTGCAGTTCCTTTTTGATGTTCTGGAGTATTCTTAATTGGCTGCCATTATTTTCCATACTAAAAAGGCAACAGAGGAGTTCAGTGTAATACTAATAAATGCAGATGAAGCGAAGTTAGCAGGTCCAACATTTCTGAATGATTCTGGAATAAAGTCTTTTGAGAACGAGACACATTGTAACTTTTTAAAATGAGGAAAAAAAAACACCCTTAAAGTTGGACAGATTGAGTTGCAATTTAATTTTTTTTTCATTAACTTTCTAGATAGGACCTACCATAGGACCTATCCGTCCTTCTAAAGTGTACAAAAATTGCATTCTTTCAACAAAGCAAGACAAAAGAATACCCCTAACAGTACTACAGGCAGCATATGACAACAACTGTTCATTGTTACGAAGAAACATAATTTATTTTGATGGATCTTGTTTGCTGATAAGGACTTCAAGAAGACGGAGTTTAGCTTTAACTTTCTTGTACTCGCGATACTCATCAAGCAACGGTCCACGATCCTCCTTCTGAACATTCCTGAAAAAAATAAAATATGTTGTTAAAAAATCTTGGCCAGTTCACTTGTTTAAAATAGACAACAAAGGCATCAAGTTTAAGTTTTCACTCTATAGCTTTCATAACAATGAAGGACTTCATAGTCCTTCCTTTTGATAAACAGAATTTCTGCTAACAAAGAAGAAATAAGCAATGCCTCAGATTATGTCTTATGACTACCTAGACTACTGAAAATGGCCAAGCAAAATCATATTCACTGCATTTCGTAAAACCAAGTAGCACTGAACTGATATTTTATGAATGATAGACATAATGATAGACTGATTGAAAAATTCAAGACTTAATCCTTTTGGAAAATTGAAGCCGTGGAAAAACCGTCATCCCATTCTACCCACAAGGAAACAGATCTTTGGGGGGGGGGGACTGGATTTCAGCAGTACTTAGATATTTTAGAATGACAGACACAGAGATAAATAGGTCTAAATGCTGCTTCTAGTATTTACTCAACAATTGGTACTTTGCATCAATGAAAGCAAACAAGCCCATGTCTGAAGCAGAGCTATGTCTTTCTGTTTTGCTTTCTGTATAAAAATGAATGTAAATATATCCTGAAGAAAGCTGTATTATATTGCTTATCCTCCATGTAATAGAATTTTACACAGATTAATTGTAATGAATAAAGGGTAAGTAGTGATATACGTATGAGCCTTTTCTTAACTATTACATTTATATCACTTAAACAAGGGGGGGGGAAACCACTTTAAAAGTTTTCTGGATTCCCCCCACCATCGCTTTACATTTTAGCACTACTTGTTATCTAAATGCAATAAAAGTCTTACTTGCCAAATTAACCTACAGCTGTAATGGACCTTTGCTAGTGACAATTTGCATTTTTTTAAAATCTTGCTGGCTGTGCTATTAACAGAAACAAATAAAGTCCTTTCAAGACCCAGCTCTTTGGATCTTCCCTCCAACTTCTCATTTTTTAGGGGATGGTGAATGAGAAAGTGGGGCAACTGCAGCTACAAAATATCTTAGAGGTAGACTTTAAGCATATGCAGTCAGAATTCAGGCTCAGGCATGGGATTGAGATGTTTGTCATTTTGATTTGTTGAGGTTTGGTTTGATGTCTTAATAGTTTCTGATGCCAATCATCTTGGTATATTTTTGCATTGACTGCAAGGGTTGTGGACTGGAAGCATTGTTTAAAATGTCTCTGCCATTCCCTGAGTAAACAATTCCAATGAGGGTTGGCATGGCACTTCCATGTGGAAGCCCAGAGGTGTTGATTTTTTCCCCCCTATTTTTAATATCCATTTGAGACCACAGTCACTTTCAGCTGCAATACTATCTGTACAATTATGATACTCAGCTATGTATTGCCAAGGATGCTACAGAAGCCTTGACCTGAGTCTGTAAGCTATTGAAGCTTTGAAACATCTACATGAAACTCCAGGGAGATCATTCTAAGATATGAAATAAGTTATTATCTATATCCCTATGATACCCAGTGCTCCTGTCCCCTAATTCAAAAAAGTAATCGGTACCATTGAAAGTTGCCTGAATTATATCATGGGCAGATACAGGGAGAGAAAGCTGAAATTATGCCCAAGCAACATAGAATTATTGGTGATTAATAAGAAACCAGTCTCAAGAGAACAGATTCTGTTTGGGATGGAGGTTGCATTCTTCTTGAAGTACATTTGCAGTCCTGATTTTCAGCTGTCACTAGATTCATAGATGACAGCTGCATCAGGATTACATTTGCACAATTATGATTAGTGCAGCAGCTATTTCTATTTTTAAACTGGGTAGCTTTGAAAAACTGTTTTTGCTTTGGTTACATTTTACCTTAGCTATTGCAACATACGTGAAAGTGGGGTCCACCTTAAAAAGTTTGCAGAAATCGCAACTATTGCAAAACGCAGCAACTGAAGACTGCTAAACAGTAAGAAATACAGTAACTATATGGCATCTGGGTTGCAAGGGCTACACTGCTTTGCAGAGCGCTTAACAACCAAAATTAAAGGTATAAGCATTAATCTTTGACAAAATGATTTAGAAATTATATGAATGAAAGCCTGTCAAGCCCAAAACCCAGAATGAGAGGCAGAATTTTTTCCAAGATCAGTTCTTTATTGTTTCACATATATGGAAAAAAAATATTGCCAGGCCGAGGACCCCACTATCTTTACTGTATATCTACAATATACAATGTGGACTATTGGAGAAGGGCTATTTTCACTCTCTTTCTCTCATACAGGATACCTGGGGTGAGTTGCTCCGCTGGAATGCATCCATCTCCTTACTACATTTCATCACATTGCCTCTCTCACTATGAATCTCTTTGGCTGCTAAGATTTGTAAGGCAAGCTATTCTGAAGATGGCTGCGTTGCCAAAATGTTTCTCTGGCACATGGGAGAATCTTCATAATTCATGAACTGCATTTGGGGGGGGGGGGCTGCACATAGCCACCATTCTGTCCTGCTTTATGAGAGTAGCCAAGATGCTCTTTCAACTTCATTTACTTTTACATCAGTTTAATGCATGCTTTTTCATTTTTTTATAGTGTGTATCTTAAGCCAGTGTAACTGCTCTAGTTCGTAGAAGGTGAGATAGAAATCAAATACATTTTCATTATTTAGTCTTTGGTATGATCAAAGAAACTTAATCCAATCTCTTATATAATGTGTCTCTGAATTTTTTTTTTATTTCAAATGGTTTCTAACATGTACTCAACATTAGAGTTTGATTAATTAAAATACATATAAATAAATATCAGGACTGTTAATTCAATTTTTAAAAAATCTATGTGTATTAATTCTCACTAAATAGCACCCAGCAAAACTAACGCTTCAATTAAAACAAACATGTTTCCATTTTTATTTTAATTAACAATGCAAAACTAGGGTAATCAGTGTTATATATTAAACTGACCTCCCGTTCTGTTGATAAAATCCTTCTTCAAATTCCCGTAGGGTTTTGCGCAATTTCTTTTTTTCACCTCTGGCTTTCCAAAGTTGTTCTAATAATTCAGGCCTAGAAAAACGTTGTAAGAAAATACTCTGGCTTATCAATACTATTTATGAGTGGCCCATCCTCTAAAAAAGCCCAGCGTAATTAGATAGCTGATAACTTTTTCAGAAGTTCTTCTCAAAGTAATTTTTATGTATTTCCTTAATTTGTTCTCTTGCTAATAATTTAAAGAAAACTAAATGCAGTTACTCTGCTCAAGTTATAAGTGATAAAACTAGATTCACATTCCAAGAAACTGTCTTCATTAAGGGATGTGCAAAATGTTCAAGACGTTTTCTGATGTCAAAGCAGCCACTATTAGAATTGGACACTTTTCTGGACAGGTCAGAATGGCCCATTTCACTGATCTGTTTCGGATCTAATCAGAATCCACAAATGATTTTTAAAAATAAGCAGCAATGGTATTTACAATGTCATATTTACTTACATGGAAGCTGCACAGATACTAGAAAGTCGAAGCTCTCGAGTTAGTTTCTCTTGACTTTCTTCAACATCAGATTCTGAGTTTTCAACAGGGCTAGTAGCAATGGGATGTATTTGGGCACTGGATTTTAAAATATCAGTCAATTCGGAAGATATATCACCATCTTCTTCCTCTTCCTTAAAAAAATAATAGACAAGTTTTAAGGATTCAAGTAGTGGGCCAATTTTTTTAAAAAAAATACTACTATTGCATATATATTCATATTAATATTCCTATGGCAATAGAGGGTTAAGAATTATGTGGGCATTAATGTGAAGTCTAGTGTTAAAGCCAACAGTGGTTCTAGTACCCTGGGAAACACAAACAATGGGAACAACAATGCACAGTAAAGGAATGGGAAAAATCATTTGCTATTGAAAATTGTCTTTTTGTATGGTTCAATGTTTTGTAACAGATTATTACAGAGGCACTATAAAGTATAACAGAATTGTAGGTATAAATAGAAACAATCTAAGAAAATATTTGAAATCTTTTTTCACCCCAAAATGCTTTAATAATACTATAACACATCTATTATAAAATTAATTTTAGAGCATCTGTACAAATACATCTGTATTTAAACAATCCAAGTGCACTGTAAAGAAAGTTATCTGTAAAGATATTGATTAATGCAATTCATAAAAATAACTCCATATAAGAGAGGGGCCTTTAATACACATATTTTTATCTTATCTATAACCTAAATATAAGTAACCTTCCTTTTTAAATGTAACAAAATCATCAAAATGGCAAGAAATTATTTTTTTTAACCTAAGACTGATACAAACTGAAGCATTTGCAGGTCTCCTGTTACAAACTTTATAGAAGCTGTATTATTCTGGATATTCTGGATGAAGGATCATTTACATTAACAAATTAGGCTTCAGAGAAGATACTGAGATTAGTAGGTGATCAACAACACCTATGTTTTAATAACAATGGGTTAACAATAATGTTTCTGGCCAATTATACTTGGGAAAGCCATAGATGTCACCAAAGCAATTGTTTATATGGAACAACTTAAATCTAAGCACGCAGTTTGTATTGTATCAAATTGTTATCAACAATTATCAAATCCCTAAAGATTTTACATATAAGACTCAACATACATAAACAGAACGTTCGCAATCTTTACTCCACAAAATAAAAAACATAGAACAAAGTTAAATTAATCAAACAAAGCTAACTAAACCCAGATGGGGGTTAAGTTTTTTTCTACATAGATTGAGCCAGCTAGGCCAATTCCTTTCACAGAATAGACTACAGGAGGTAAGTTAAGTGCAAGCAGTGTATGGCTTTATAAGTTCAGCATTTTAAACTTCTCAGAGGTCTACTGGCAACTAATGCAGTCATCTTTGGACAGATAAAATACCTTAATTTCCTCAAAGAAATGGGCTGTTTCTCCTTCTATGATAGGTTGCAACATTTGGCTACGCCTTTTAGTTGATGGTGATCCCTGAAATATAATCAAAAGGTGATAATGTTTTAAAAGCTATGTTCCTATTATTTTTAGAGCAGTGGTTCTCAATCTTGCTAATGCCACGACCCCATAATACAGTTCCCCACGTTGTGGTGACCCCCAGCCACTTATACATCACTGGGTGCCAGGGGCGTGGCCAAAGAAAAGGGGAAAAAAATGGCGGACAGCCTTATTTGGCGACCCCCATGAAATGGTCGTTCGACCCCAAATGGGGTCCCGACCCACAGGTTGAGAACCACTGCTTTAGAGTATATGAAATTCCATTTTACATAATCTTCACTGTTTTTATTCACTGGATAAAGTGAGAATAAAGAGTATTGATACAAACTACAGAACATTCATTGTCTATACAAGGGTGCTAAGAAGGAAAATAAAGTATGTTCAATAAAGTTCAAAAGGAGTTTGGATTTGTAACACAGGAAAGCAAATGCAATTTATTAGATATAAAAGAAACAAGATGGGATTACTGGAAGGTATCAGCTGAAGAAAACAGTTTGTCCAAAAGAAGGAAACAAAGAAGGACTTTAATTGTATGTTAAAATATCTATCCCTGCTTAGAAATCAAAGTAAATGAAACTTGACAATACTGGAAAGCCTCTATCTAGTGTTTTTCAAAAGCAAAATGAAATTGATTTTAAGAGGCATAAAAGAGCAATAACAGAGGGCTTTCCTTATAATAACATATATCAGAAGGCAATTTTCTAACTTTCTGAAAATTATCCTCCTTCAGAAGATAGAAGAAGCTATCGGCTTTCTCTCACTTGACCCTAGGGGTGTATGTGCGTGAAAGTGACATATGATGCTAAAATTCCTGATTACAAGGACAATTAAAATATAGATGAACAAATATCTTAAGACCTTTAACAAACTCAGAGCAACTACAAATGAAATTCACAGCAAGAGAAACGGCAAAATGTGTACAATATATCAAACAACTCAAAAAAGCAAGATTGAAACTTGAGTTTAAATCTCTTGGACCATATAAATGACATCTAAGTTGCTAAATGAACCAATGGTCTGAGAAAATATTTATGAACTGTCTTTGAGAGATACTGGAGAGTAAGTGGCATATCTTTGAACATGGGACGGGGCAATGAGAATAGATGGTAGGTAACCCCTTAGTTATCAAAGATATAGTCAGTATGGAAGTTAGATTTAATGACCCAAATGGTATTTTACATGTTATTAATGTTCTAATGCTAAGCATTCCAAATATACTGAAGCCAACACTCAGATTACAATATGCTCATAGAAAAGATCTTCATTTTCAACTATCAAAGCCACTTGAAAGGATAATCAAACACTTGTTGATGAATGGTAGCAACAGTGAAATACATATTTAAAAATTCTGTAGATGATAAATACATTGGAGATTGGGGTTAATTTCGAGATTTGTTATCTATAAGCAATGGACGAGGTAAAATAAAAATAAAGATTTCACCTGTCATTTCTTATTATAGTCATTATGAACGTTAAAAGTAAATTAGAATAATAAAAAAATCAGTGCAAAACAAGTGATGAGGAAAATCAATCCCAAATAGAAAGCGTATGAAAAACGGATTCTATACTCACAAGAATAGGAGTAATACTCGCTCGAGTTAACATCTGCTTCACAAGCCTGTACCTGTCATAGAGGGGTCTAACAGTATGTCTGTCTTCTCTGGAAACCTGAAAGAAAGAAAGAAAAAATCAAATACTGAAAATGAACAAAAGGGACTTGCCTTAAAACTAACAGAGTATTATAAAAATGGCAAATCTAAATCACAGAGAAATAAATGATTACAATTTTGGGCTTGATAGGAAAAAAGCAGACATAAAGTGGAGGTCATATCATCAGAAAGTGGGCTTTGCTTCATAACTGCCCTGCCCCATTCAAAGTTATGACAGCACTGAAAAAGTAACTTTATCATCAGTCCTTATATTTATGATTGTCACAGCATTCCTGCAGTCACACAATCAACAGTTGGGCACTATGCAACTACCGTACCAATAAAGGAGAATATTTGTAGCTCAGGGTTGAAATGAGGGGTCCTTGGTGCTCTCTGAACTTGCTTGTTTTCTTGCAGACGTTTCATTACCCAAACTAAGTAACATCATCAGTGCTAAATAAAGAGCGCAGTTTGCTGTCAGTTTATATTCTGGCGGTTTGTCCTGTCAGTGTTGGTGGAGATCATCTTAGAGATTTTTTGGTTGAGCTGTTTGTTGTTGGCTTCTTTGGCAATTTCTTGACTGGGGTGTTGTTTACGTGATTGTTGGTCTGATGATAACCTTGGAGTTAATCTATGCTGATCTGAGTGCTGATTGCTGGTGGAGAGGTGCTTGGATCTTTTTGTTCCTTTTGGGCTGGGTGATAGTCTCCTTTGCATAGTCTATAGATGTTGTTCGTGTCTATCTGTCTATTGATGGCTGATTTGCCAGAGTGCCAGGCTTCTAGAAATTCCCCGGTGTTTTTGGACTTGACTTGGTCTAGGACAGTGGTTCTCAACCTTTCTAATGCCGTGACCCCATAATACAGTTCCCCATGTTGTGGTGACCCCCAGGTGGGTGTGGCCACCAATAAGAGGGAGTAGGACAGCTAGGGAAAAGGGAAAAAATGGCGGACAGCGTGGTTTGGGGACCCCCGTGAAATGGTTGTTCGACCCCAAATGGGGTCCCAACCCACAGGTTGAGAACCACTGGTCTAGGATGATCACATTTTCCCATTTGAAATTATGGTTAAATTTGTCTATATGTTGTGAAAATAAAAGAATTTTCATCATGTCTTCTGACTGCTAGTTGATATTCGTGGGGAAACAATGGAGAAACTGGCAACTTGCTATTGTGTGATGTCTTGCTTGACAATCAAATGGGAAGTGACATTGTAAGTGTGTGTTATGGTTAGGTGATTTTTCATTTAGTGGACATGTTGCTTACCAAGAGAGTAAGACATTCAATTAGGGTTGTTAAATAAGAATTAAAATGTAATATTTGAGCCATATAACAGTTGTATACAGAATTCAGTAAGTACAGCTTTAAATAAATAATAAATGGACCTTTGAATGAGATCAGTGCCTGTTTTACAATATGCAGAAGTATCACAATTCACACCAATAAAGCAACCCCATCTTTCCAATTCCTTAGATTTTAATTTTATTTTTTTTAAAAAAAAAAAACCTAGAATGTCAGCAAAATTAAATTGTTGTTGTTTTAATTGTTATTCTCTTCTCAAATTAATATTTCTTTAAATACTTCTGAATTATGTTTCTGAGATTATATTTGGATAAATATCAATGTTGATGAAGGTTTTAAGGAACAATTTTCTGAAAAGAAATCACAGTTTCTTTCAGAATACTTAGAATTTTATTGCTAATTTTGAAGGACTAAGTCCTATTTATTCTTTGGTCCCCAACACAATTCCTTCAATCTAACGGTATTAGAAGAAACTTTGGGACAAGGGTTCAGTGAATTCTGCAAGATGATGTCAATAGTGTTTTCAATAATTCTAGACAGTCAAGAGGGAGAGTATGAAATATTACCGGACGTCCATGCTGACTTTCATAGAAAAGGAGACTTTTTTGAAGTGATGTTTTTTCTTCTGCAAGATGGTCTTTCGTCATTTTCTATAATGAGAGAAATGGAAGGGTCTTATTCTATATCCATTTTTGTTTTCATACTTACTTGCGGAGGTAAAATAATAAAATTGAAATAGCTGAATTACGATGAAAATCTTTATAACAGTTTTTCTCCCCATATGGACTTATGCAGAAAAGTTTCTCAGCAGAAGAACAAAAGGCAATGCAAACTTTGTTTAAAACAATCTGTAATATTAAAATCCACTGAAATTTGAAATGTTCTTGAAATTTTCTCTCAAAACCTAATATTCTTATTTCATGTTTAAATATCATTAGAGATAGTGCTAGGAATTCCACAGAAAAGACTCTGATCTATTATCCATCAACCTATCCCTGGACACTTCTGTTTGTATTTGACCAAAGATACTTATGCAAGCCTTCTGGGAGTCCTGCTCCTTCAACAAAAGTAGCACTTGTAATCTGTAATCCAAGTTAAAACAACTGGTTTATTAATATAATCTAAGATGTAATAAACCAAGCCACCTTATTTTGTCATATCATGCAAAAATATAGGTTTATTCCTGTCATTGTTTGATCATACTGTATGTAATTAGTTATTTGTCTTTGTCAGTCATTGGATATCTTTCTTTTAAATCTTACTTGAAATAATTTGATATTTGATAAACTATACACTTTTACCGTTGATATTCTTCCTAACCAGAAAATATATATTTTCTTCTTTAAGGTATCTTCTGCATATGTTGCTTTTCCTCTTCAAATAATTTTCATATAATTTGTTTCATGTCTTGTTCTTGTTATATAGTAATATTGAACCCATATTATGTGTGTTTAATTGTTTATTCTAAAGACTCCTTTACAAGAGTAACTGTGAGTGCTATCTTTAGTTGTATAATTTTAGTTTATATTCTTCCTTTCCCACTTTGATTCCTGAAATTTTATTCTCTTGCCATTTCCAAGTTTTTTAAGAGGACTGTACATCGGAGCACGTTATTTTGAAAGGGAAAAAATATATGCACCACTATAGCCAGGTCAACTGTCAACAGCTAAAATTGGACAAAGGCTAGTGATGCAAAGTTTGAAGAAATTTTTAAGCCATTTATTTGAGGTTTCAAATTAATAAACAATGTTGAAATATTTGAAAAATAAGAATACTTTTTTATATGTATGAATCACATGGTGCAAGTCTAATTTATAAAACTGGAAAGTTTATACTTTATTCAGGCAATAATTATAAATCCATTCACTGAATTCTCTTTAAATGTTTTAATGTTCCTTCCTTACAAAAATCTCTGAACCTGTAAAGAGTTTTTCATAAACTCTTCTTTAGTTTTTAGAAACCATTTAGAAATTAAGCTAAATATTTTTCTTATACATTTATGCATTATTTAAAAAGAAAAGCGTTTCATTATTATTTCACTACCTAATAGAATTGGATGACCAATAAATGTAAACAAACAAACAAATAAACAAATAAATATAAATATTTTGTTTGATTGTGTTTTCTTGATTTTGATTTTGAATGCAGAAGAAAAAAGAGATGGGTTTTCTAGCAAACACATTCCTGGTAACACAACTGAATGCTAAGTACGTAAGTTGTGTAACTACTGGATTTTGGCTTACCAGTTGACAATACATCTGGTCTAGAGCAGTGGCCCCCAACCTTTTGGGCAACAGGGAGTGGTTCCGTGGAGAGAGATTTTTCCACAGACTGGAAGGGGTGTGGTTTCACATGCTGCCTGCATCTCACGGATGGGGCTTCACTTGTTTGCGCAGCAGTTTTTGGCACGCCACAGACCGGTTGGGGAACCCTGGTCTAGAGTGACTTTCAGTTTGTCACAGTACTTCACTGGGCAGACAATAGTTCAGAATAATCTTTTTTGCTGTTCTCACTCCTACAAAGTTCTAAAATATGAGTGGGGGGGGGAACTGAATTTGCAGATTGTTTGTCCATGTTAAGTAATGTGTTCAAGCCCTAAATGCCACCACTATCTAAGAAATCATCATACAAATTTTTTAAAAAATGGATCTGATTGTGCCACCTATCCAGACCATCTTTTCAAATCAAAGTTTTCAAAGTCACCCAGACCATTAATGAATCCTTTTCCACTGCTGTATTTAAGGATAGTCCAGTTTAATAAACTCCTGTCCTTGCATACATTTTGAACACTCTATCTAATTATACAATTAATCTTGTTAGTCATCTTTGTTAAGTAAACATAAATCAAGGCTATGTCTCCCCCCCAACATATATATATAAAACAAGATATTGAGAAAGATCTGCATATTGTCCCTAAAATTTCAAAGCATTCTATTCCAGGGAACTGCTTCTGCAAGATGCATCCTCCTTTAAATCACTATCAGGTTAATATTTGTCTCCAACACCATAGAAAACAAATTCCATTTCTTGTGCAGAGCCCAACACATGCATTAGAGATTATTCCTATTTCTACCCATTAAATTAGCATGTCATTGGTCAGTACTATCAGCTACTTACTGAATGAGGTATTAGGAAATTCAACAGGATAATGAACTTGACAGATGAATTTTCTTTTCTGATGCAGCAGCATATGCAAAACTTACTTTTATATCTTCTGGCAAGCATCTTTCAATTCGCTTTTCTTTCAATTTTTTTAAAATTAGCTCAACAGTGATTTCTTTTGTAGGCTTCTTCTGAGCAACACGCAGATCATCTTCATTGTCTTCATCTTCATGGTCCAGAGATGAACCAAAACTTTTTGGAAGGGTGTTGCTTCGTGGACGTGCCTGAGGTATCAATTCATCTGAGCTTTTGTGCTTTGCATCTACGTTGAATTAAAAAAAAATATGAAACACAAGCTCATAAAACACAGACCATAGCTCAGTCACTTTGTAACTGTTACTTCTAATCTGCCTAATAAAAACAGAAATGAGGAATTTAGACATTAAACCACATTTCAGAGGTATTTACTTACCTAAACAGAGAAACAGAATGACCAAGGGCAAAAAGGCAGGGGGAGTGAGATTAACTTGCAACCAGCTTGACTGCAGATAACCACTCTCTGGCAGCCAGTCTATCTTGCCACTGGAGGGCTAAAACAGGACTGATCTACCTAATCTTCAGCAGTCAAAGGAAGAGCCAGTCTGAAGGGCTAGGGCAGGGGTAGGCAATATCGGCTCTTTTATGACTCATGGAGTTCAACTATGCTGACTCAGGAATTCTGGGAGTTGAAGTCCATAAAAGAGCTGAGGTTGCCTACCCCTGGGCTAGGGGGATTGGCCTACTGAACGCCTTGGTGGCAGCACAGCAGCACTCAATCGGCCGTAAGTTTGCCAAATTTCAATTTCACAAAACTCATGGTCCAGATTTTGGATACATTCTGTAAGTTAGCCCATTTGAGACACCTCGGTTCAAAATTTGTTTAACTGGATGTTTCATCCAGTTGAAGGTTACACTGACGAGAATTTTAGTGGTACATAGATATGTAACAATGTTTTAGAAAGTAGAATGAAATAATCAAATGCTTTCTTAATGAAAATTATCAGTAGTTAATAAGCATAAGCTGCAGAAGTGCTGCAAGAAATTTCTATGAAAAACCTACCTTTTATTTGCTTTTTTAATTTGGTAAGCTCTGTCATCCATTTTAAAACCTTTGGATTTGCTGCAATATCGGAATATGAAGGCTGAAAAGAGATAAGTATATTTTTAAAAAACATAAAATAACAAAAGAGAAAAGGAATTTTAAAAAAGGGGAAAGGATAACAAAAACAAAATTAGGGAATGCTAGCAACAAGAAAAACTATAGAAAAAGAAATTCCTGTCTTTCTTTGATACAGATCAAAACCTATAAATCAATAGCATTTTAAAGTAAAATAAACCACAGCAGTACTTCTATTATCATACACATATCTAATCATCAAAATATTAAAACTATCTCTTTACTTTTTATTCAGTTTTTGTAGCTAAACCTGGAGACTTCCAGTGAGCACAGTAGCAAATTGACATTCCTAGAAGAGAGGGATGATAGTACAGCTGAAAACAGCATCTGGATGCTAGATCCAGACTGCCAAAATCTCTCTGGAGAAAGAAGATACCTTATTTTTCATGAGCAGATGGCAAGAACCCAGGATTTTGGTGATCAGCTTGTGAACAACTGGGATGGGTGAGATTCCATTGTTAATATAGTCTACATCGGACATGTGAAACTCGCGACGTCACATGACATCGCGCAACATATAGGGGCGGTTTTGCCATTGCTGGCAATGGAGTGGGCGCGGCTTCCAGATGACGCATCTGTCCTGTGGGCCGGCAGTTTGACACCCCTGATCTATATGGACTTAAAGTTGACCAACTCTCATCTCCTAACTATTTGGGTCAAAAAGTTTTGTACTGCGTTTTAAAGATTGAGAACCTTGAGAACAGCAAAGGATTCTATTGGATTCATTGGGTGAGCTTTCTGCAATATCTTAAGAAATAATTTTTAACTACAAGATTAAGGATTTGTAAAACAAACATTTTTGGGAATATATAGCAAAAAGGTGATTGAAGTGTTGATTTTATAAAGTTTTAAATAGATTAAGGGTCCAGATGGAATTGAATGAAGACCCTGAAGTTAACTGTAACAATAGAACAGATCATGCCAGACAAATCTTATTGCATTCCTTGACCAAGTGACAAAATTAGTGGACCAGAGGAATGCTGTGGATATAATTTACTTGGACTTCAGTAAGGCATTTGATAAAGTAGACCACAACCTACTACTCGATAAGATAGAAAAATATGGGTTAGACAGCATCACCATCAGATGGATTCGTAGCTGGCTGACCAGCCGTACTCAGTGTGTGGTCCTCAATGGAACTGCATCTACATAGAGGGAAGTGTGCAGTGGGGTGCCCCAGGGTTCTGTTCTGGGCCCAGTGCTCTTCAACATCTTTCATCAATGATTTGGATGAGGGGATAGATGAGGAATTCATCAAATTTGCAGATGACACCAAGCTGGCAGGAATAGCCAACACTCCAGAAGACAGGCTTAAGATACAGGAGGACCTGGACAGACTTGAACACTGGGCACTATCTAACAAAATGAAATTCAATGGTGAAAAAAGTAAGGTTCTACATTTAGGCAAGAAAAACCAAATGTATAGGTATAGTATAGGGGGGTACCTTGCTCAATAGTAGGTGAGAGAGATCTCAGAGTCCTAGTGGACAATTACTTAAATATGAGCCAGCAGTGTACTGCAGCTGCCAAAAAAGCCAACACAGTACTAGGCTGCATTAACAGAGGGATAGAATCAAGATCACATGAAGTGTTAATACCACTTTACAAATGTGGTAAGGCCACACTTGGAATGCTACATCCAGTTTTGGTGACCACGATGTAAAAAGATGTTGAAATTCTAGAAAGAGTACAGAGAAGAGCAACAAAGATGATTAGGGGACTGGAGGCTAAAACATACAAGGAACAATTGCTGGAACTGGGTATGTCTAGTTTAATGAAGAGAAGGATGAGAGGTGACATGATAGCAGTGTTCCAATATCTCAGGGGTTGCCACAAAGAAGAGAGAGTCAAGCTATTCTCCAAAGCACCTGAGGGCAGGACAAGATGCAATGGATGGAAACTAACCAAAGAGAGAAGCAACCTAGAACTAAGGAGAAATTTCTGGATAGTTAGAACAATTAATCAGTGGAATAACCTGCCTCCAAAAGCTGTGAACGCTCCAACACTGGAAGTTTTTAAGAAGAGATTGGACAGCCATTTGTCTGAAATGGTATAGGGTTTCCTGCTTGAGTAAGGAATTGGACTAGATGACCTCCAAGGTCCCAACTATTATTGTTGTTGTTGTTACTATTATTACTATTATTATTCCCATAGGGGAACCATCTGTTTTTACATTTTGAAAATAAGTAACTGATGATCATTTTGAAGGTTGGACACTAGAGAACATCAAAAGGAAATAACTGCACCAATGAATTCATTAAGAGAGATTTATTAATATTGGGCTCAGGAATTAATTTTAAGGTGATCTGCTGCTATACTTTTTCTAGCCACCTCAGGAAGAAAGAATTTCCAGTTTTGAATATACTAAAAATGATTTTCTGGAAAGTTTAAGTTTAATTATGAACACATCTGAAGAAGGCATAATGGATAAAGCTGAACATAGGCTTAACTGTTGACAACAGAGCCTATAGTTTAAGTTCTTTAGAAGGATCAAGCTGCATGGTTTTATTTCTTTTTACTGTTATAAGCCTCCCAGTCACCTCAAGGCGAGATGGATGGCAAACTAAATAAACAAATAAATAAACAAACAAATAATGCAGAATGATGCTAAATATTGAGTATAGTAACTTTCTGTAATGACTCCAGGATTTGGATATGGGGCACTGTGCTATTTTGGTTTGCATCCTTCTTCTGAGGCTGTTTTCAGTCAGTGTTGATTGGTGGCAAGAAGTCTGAGTCCTGGTTCCCGCACAAGGGTTGGTACATTTTTTGTTCTTGTCTACCATCTATATCAGGCATGTCAAACTTGCGACATCACATGACGTCGCGCAATGTATTGGGGTGGTTTTGCCATTGCCGCAATGGGGTGGGCACGGCTTCCACATGACGCATCTGGCCTGCAGGCTGGCAGTTTGACACCCCTGATTTTCATGAAACTGTTGGGGGAGGATCATCCACCTCCATGGGGTGACATGTCATCAGTCTTCCCATGGTCAATTAAGCGATGCAGCGACCATCCTCAATGAACTAACTTCTTAATATACATATATTAAGCCTCATGTAACAATTGAGAAAAGAAAATTAAGTAGAAAAGAGGAAAGAATGATGAAAAAATATCAATGCAAGTTCATTAAAGTACAAGCAAATAAATATTATTCTAAAGCACCACTGTAAAATATTAAAATAATTTACCTTGAAGTTTTTGTCTTTCTCAAATTGCTCCTCAAACTGTCTTATTTTTTTCTGCAACTTTTTGACTAGCTGATATGGAGTCTTTTCTTCCTTTCTATCTTCCTTAGAACTACTAAATGCTGCTCTTCGAGTTCTGAATTTAAAAGAAGAGGTAAATATTATAGGTACTACATATACATATGCATACATATTCAGTTAAAAGAGGAAACAGGTATACATTTATACTTCCATCATAAAATCCATGGAACAGAGACAACAAAATTATTTTTTTTTTACTTTTACAATATTGTCACCAATATTTACTATAAATTACTACTTCATTTCCTGCCTTTTTATTATTTTTATAAATAACTCAAGGCAGTGAACATACCTAATACTCCTTCCTCTTATTTTCTCCACAACAACTCTCTTGTACTAAGTTGGGTTGGGTTGGGAGACTGATTAGTCCAAGCCTAAGGCATGACTAGAATCATAGTCTCCTGATTTCTAGCCTAGTTCATTAACCACTAAATCAAAATGGCTCCTGAAAAGATAACCTGGTTAAGGTAAAATATAAACTATATGATCACTTTCATATAACTAAACTTAAGGGTTTATAACCAAAAACAGACATGTCAATTGTCCAACTCTGTAGAATCATAGTGATATATAATTCATTAAGTCTGACCAACTGCTTTCTATAGAAATCCAGATTTCTAACAAGGGCTATCTAGCCTCCACTGCACAATAATTACAATAAATGAAGGAAAATCCACTACTGGATTCCAGAATTGGTTCTCTGTCTTGCTACTGTTACTATTAAAAACGTTCCTTAATCCATTGTTCTGAAACTTGGACTCTGGAATCGTAAACAGCAGATCTTAGCTTTTCCATGTGACATCCCTTCACGTATGAAAACTACAATTGCATCTTCCTTTAGTATTCTCAGAGCTGAAGATTTCAGTCTCTCTTCATATGACATTAGTTCTAGTTCCCTAATCATGCCAGCGATCCTTCCTTGAACCTATTCGTTTGTCTGAACAGTTTTTAAAGTGTGGTGCCACAAACCAAAGTCCCCATTAAAATATCACAACTTTTTGTTTTTCATGTATGCAAATTATGCCATGAAATTTCCTTTTCTTAAACCTGTACTGGTATAATTTACATTTTTAAAAAACTCTAAGGGAAAATGTATGCATAATTAAAATCAGTTTTATTGCAATCTAAGAGCAAAGAATACAAAAGTATTAAAATATATACCAGATTTGGAATTTTCTTGAGATATATGCCTAAAAGTACCAACACTTTCACTCTAGCATAAGTTGCAACTGAAGAAAGATTATGTATGTATGTATGTATGTATGTATGTATGTATGTATGTATGTATGTTAGTTACTTATTCCAAATTTCAGCTAATAATAACTATTTGGGGGGAAAGGCAAATTCTCTTCTAGCAAACCTTTTTTTTCTTTTTCTTTTATAAACCTACTTTTTTTTTACTCAGATGCTTTTTAGAAAGACAACACAAAACCAAAAAGGCTTACAACTTTATAGAAAACAATTACATGATACCAACACTCATAATTTTGGAGTTCAAGGTGAATGAAAAATTCTATATCCTAATACAAATCATTAACAGTTTTTTTCTCATGAACTGTATCTGTGAATGACATTAACTACTTACCTAACAAAAGAAAGGGCTTTAGATGAAGAATCTATTTTTTCTGGATCATGCAGAAAACGCTGACTTTGTCCAAAATCCAAACTCCGATGTGCCAATATGGGATGACTATCTTCTTCCAGAGGATGATTCATTCTTCCAGCTTGTGGAGAAAGCTGAGCTTCTCCAGATTCATTTTCCTCCTGCCAAGATTTAAAAGCTGGGAATGGCTCTAGAAGGAAATAAAAAACAAATGGCACTGGAATATTAGAAGACTGCAGCAAAAAAATTTGCAAATTCACGATGTGACTAAAATGAACAATGAAATGCACTGGAAAGCTACATGTCAAAGCAAACAAAAAGAAAATAGCCCAATACACTTAAGACATATACAACAATCTTCCAATAAGTGTACGCCACTTAACGTATTTCATTAGATAATCATCATGCATTAATACATAAAACTATATATTACCCTAAATATGTACCATGTGCATTTTGATTATGTGCTTTAAACCATAGGTAATTTTTGTCCAAAACAATAGAAAGCACACTAAATTCCTTCAAGTGCAACAGTGTGCATCAAACATTTACATAAAGATTTTAGATAATGAAGTGCAACCCCCCATGTTTCATTGTAATACAAAAGACTTGACTCCTCCATATATTGATATTGAAGAATAATTCTATTGAAGGAGGATTGTTTGTGAAGAAAGTAAATAAATATTTCATATTACACATTAAAGATATAAATAATGTTTAAAATGTATATTTGTGAAATAATTTGTGCCTGTTCTAAGGAATCTGAAATATTAGAATAATCCAAGAAACTTGTTATTGTCCCACAAAAATAAATGTGTGTGTCTTTGTGTGTGTGTACTAATATTAACACATAGACACAGACAGTTCCTTAGTCTATCTCTATTTACAATCACAGAAATAGAGTGACATAAATACTGAATTTGATTTTTCCAGTGCAAATCTTATATTTGAAAGAGAATTTTAACACAACACAGTGACAACACAATAAAATGTTGATTAACCCACTTATACCTGCTTCCCACCAAACACCAAAATATATTTTAAAGAATCCCTTGTTTAAAATAAAAGTTATTTGGATTACAAAAAGGCAAACCAGACATGATGTCATGGTGTGGACTTATAAAGCTGCTTTATATAGACACTCTTCCTTGGTCCAACTACCGGAGGACATTCTTCTCTAGCTGGCAGAGGCTTTCCCAGGTTGTCAGGCAGTCCTAGTTCTGCTGGCTAACATCATTTAACTAAACATACCAGCATGTCAACCTGGACCGTTTATATGCATACCACTGCACCAATCATAAGCCATAACTCTTCAGAAGGCAGCAGGTAAAAGGGGTAATTTGAAAGCAACCATAAACCATGAAAGAGGCAGTAACTGAATGTATGGCGAACCATACTTACCCTCCCCTTCTCTCTGTAGATGCATTGTTTTGAAATCAATGAGGGGAAAAGTGATAGGGCATGGCGCTAATAAATGAAAAAAAATGGCAAAAAATACTGAAGTGAACACATCACACGGTTAGAACAAACTATAAATAACACGTAGGAGTACAGCACCACACAGAAAGTCTTCCAATTGACTCGGGGCCAGGTCTAAGCACTCAATTCTCAACTGAATGGAGCAGTTAAAAGGTGCCCAACAATATTCAAGATGAAGCCCTTTATCAATTAAAAGCCTTTCCAGAAGTGTTCCAGAGGTGACAAACAAAAGCCACATGCTTTCCCATGTTTAACAAAACACATTTCAAACAAAAATAAATTTATGCACAGGACAGATTTTGCTCACATATGTTTAAAAATAACAATTATGTATGTGTCCAACATAGGCATTTGTCCCAATTAACAAGATATGCATTTTTAAAAAGAAGCAAATTTCTGAACACACAACAGAACAGGTCTAGAAATCATTAAACTAAATCTAAATGGATCTTAACAATAAGATTAATATAAAAGAATTCAATCTGATTCGAAAAAGAGGACAGAGAATGAAGAAACCTAATTCAGGATCCAAAGAGCTTTGCAGAGCACAAAAGGGACTTTCGGCTTAGCCTTTAATCCTCCCCTTGAAGTAATCCCTAAGGTCTGAGGATATTCTGGAGCTGCATTCAATTAATCACCAGAAGGGAAACAGTTCCATTAACTTTGGAACTGTTAATGCATTGCATTTCTTTGGATCCTATTCGTAGAGTATAGCAGCAAATAAAACAAGAAGCTACTGCTTAAACGAAGAGCTATTTTAAGTAGTTATGTGATCAAAATACATATATTTTGTCCTTAGAGTCAGAGGAACGTCAGAACAACCATTATCATCCATTTGGAAATTAATATCACTATACTATTAATTGGTTCAGTTTGCAAGTTAAGCAGAAATCATAATCTTGCAGTTTGGATGTTGCTATAAGGTTACTGTTAAGTGTTGTTATCCAAATGTTCACCAATATCTTTACCACATGAATCAACAAGAGAAAGCAAGAATTACTGGTACCTTCCAGGCTCATTCTCAAGAGATACTATACTTTAATAGTTTGGCATAATGTGGAGGATGTACCAATTGTTAGAGGAATAACTTGTTCAATTAGAGATAACTAAAATATAAGCAGCAAATATGACATTTCATTTTTCAAAAATAATACCAAACAGATTATATTAATGTTTTACGTGTTCTTAGTGTACACTTACTCCTACTAGGAATCTCTATGTGTTTCTACTATACAACAAAAAAATAACTTGAATGGTTAATCCAATGGCTGGGGGAAAATATTCTCTTCTCATTTTGAGGAAATCTGTCCAATTGGCATCATGAGATTAAGCTACAGTTATAAAATAGCAATAGCATTTATATGGCTTATATATCGCCCCATGGCTTTTTATAGCACTCTCTGAACAATTCACAATGTAGAAGTATTATTTGCATATTGCTACCAACAATCTGGATCCTCATTTTATCAACTTTGGTAATATAAAAAACTTTTTTTGACAACTTACAGATTGCATGAGGTATAGAGGCTATCTTTTTCAAGCTATCTGAAAAGACAGAACAATAATGGTGCCTCCTTATATAAGAGCTTCTGGGAGCAACCATATATCCTTACATTTATATCCAACAATTATATCCAACAATCAACAGTCTTTTGATTGTTAATTGTATGGAAAAAATATATTTGACCACATAGAGTTGCATTACCAGGAGCACCATACAAAAGAATTGTAAAAGAAAAAGATAATCCTGAAATTGAATATACTGTTCTAATATAATTTCAGCTGTTGCAGATACTGAAATTTTCCTGGAAGTAAAAATGCATTTCTGCACTTCATGGTCAATACATTCCCTACCCCAAAAAGAAGAATCAAACCCATTCCTAAATATTACATAAAACAACATTAGTTTTATACTGTACATTATAACTATAATTACTTCATGAGATCAATATGAATGTTGATGTTCCAAAATAGTGTTTCTTTTAAAATTTGCATATTATAACAAATGTATACATTATTTCTATATAAGCAGTCATAATTATTTGCTGGCGTATTATAGCCATGGTAAATATGATGGTTACTACAACATTATTTGTTACATGGATGATATGTGTTTTATCTCAAGAAAAATGATGTGTGGGAACATAATAGAATTATCACATCTTGATTTCTTTAAAAATAAAATGGGCAGAATCCCATCTCCCTGATAAAAAACACAGAAAGTGTGATAAAGAAGCTCTAGCTAAGCTCCCTCATACATTCTTTTACAATGGAAAATAGGATTGGCATCATCAAAGTCAACATATCCTCCTTTTCTTAGCTATAGGACTATGCAGGAGTAAAATACCCTTCACACAATTGTTATAATGATCCCCAGCAATCTCTGCAGTTTATAAATTGAGAAACAAGCATAACAAGCAGTACACAAATAATATTCTTTAAACCCCTACTCTTACAGACTTCAAGCAGATTAAAACAATTTGTTAAGAATTACTGGTAATTTCAACTAGCAATATTTGGAAGTTTCAACTTCCCAAATCTAACTTTTTCTTCTACTGATTCATTTCAATAGACTTCATCTAATACCCATTTGAAATATATTATTAAGTGTCAATAAATACAAATTTCTATTGATCATATATTTGAATTTTCAAAATTAACAAATTTTTGAAAAACATCAGTAAAATCAAGGTTTACCTTCCCATTTGTCACCACCATTCACATTCTTCAAATCAAGATGTGGTAAAGAGGCACACAGTGTTGCTTCAGGAGCATTGTTATTTCGGTTTTTCAATTCCTCCAATTCATTTTTCATATTTTGATCAGAAATATTGCTAACACAATCCTGTAAATAAATAATACACTATTATAGGATCAGCAACTTCCAGCATACATTTAAATTTTTGTTTTTTGGATTTCAGCATGTTTTCCTGATTGATAAAAATAATGTGAAATATAAGCAAGCAATTAAATAAAGTAAGCCTTTACAGATATATAAAATAGGAACCATACAAGAGAATGTCAAATACTAACTATCTGTAAAAATTACAGTTAATATTCATGCAGTTAAAAAGTGGAAATACATTTGTGGCTATATATTTAAATTGTGCCTAGATTTACAAGGGAAAGAAAAAAAAGCAAGATCTCACCAGAATCATGTGTGATGTCATTTTGCTACCATCATCAAACAATATACAGTCTTGCCTATAAAGGAAGTTAGGACATGGGAAGATTATTTCAAAATACTTATGATGGCAATTCTTATGGACTCAACTCAGTTGTATCAGTACAGTTTAAAACAAAATAAACTTGGCTTCTGTTTGATAAACCAAAACAAAGAACTTTACATTTACAATTATCCTCCCTAATCTAGTGATATTAATACACACACATGCATGCACGCATACACACAAACACGCACACACACACAAACTAGTATCGTGGCTAGCAATATATCTATGTATACAAAGCTGTAATTATGATTTGTCAATTTAGATATGGCAAAGCATAGTGTACAAAAGAAGTGGTTTGAAAAGCATTTAAAATGTTTTCTGATTATGATTTAATAGTAACTAGCAAATCATGATTCCTCAATTCAAAAAATCATGGCAAACATTGTTCAATGTATTACTTCATGATTTATTAAACTAAACCTGGATTTATTGCAAAACTCTAGTTTAGTTGGCTTGATAAATTGTAAAGAATATTGTTTACTTGTTTTTATGAAATTTTAATCAATGGTAAGCAAAATTTATAAAATAATTTCATAACATAAAAATTAGTTGACACAAAAGAAAGCAAACTGGCTGAGGTAAAGATGAGAGAAATTTTTATACAATATGAAACTATTTTCTTACTTGGCTCTGGGTTTTTTCCTACTCTAAAGGCAAAAATCACAAAAGCTATGTTAAATTAATCTTTCTGTATCCTGTAACACAAAGTAAGGTTACAATTCTGGCACTAATACAATCACTAAATATACTCAGTCCTAAATGCCCTGAGTATAGAAATTTTAGCAACAGATAGATGTCCTCATACTAAGGAAACTAATTCTGGAAAAACAGTTCCTCGTCAAGATAACATTAATAAAAAGTATCTTGCCCCAGACCCAATGTTCTCTTGTATACTGGAGTACATACTTATTTCCAAAGGGTTCTTTATCTTCACCTCCATCATCACATGGCTTCAACAATACGCCTGCAGCCTATTGGTGAAAACAAAGACCTTAGCATGGTAACTGCCATTCTGTTTTAAGGAAGGAAGAAAGCTACAATATTCTGTGGTTCTAAACGAATTTAAAATTTATTTAAACTACTTAGTTACTTTAACTTCTGGGGGGAAAGTTTTGAAGTGCCCTGCTGAAGTATGCTAATATAGATCAATTTGAGGGGCTGAAGATGTAAACAAAATATTAACAACAAGGATTCTGAGGACTTCTCTCAGTTTATGCAGAATGAGCCATCTGCTGGACTCTAAAAGATACTATTAATCCTTGTTACTAAATAAAGCAGCAACATGGACAGAACGTTGCTGGAAGAAAGCACTCATGCCACTAGTAAAAACACCCAGTTAAAACTGGCTTATATGTTAAATATTATTTTTAATATTTGCATTTAATACAATCAGAAAATCACATTAAAAGTGATTATAGACTAATCCTTATGAACAGCTGACAGAGAAAAATACTCAATTCACTGCTAAGCAGTAATAGCGCTTCTTAATATAGCCTCTCCTCTGTGCCTTGGATCTGAAGATAGCTAAACATACTTCAGATAGTTTTAAAATCATTTGCTCTTTTCCTTTTTAGGTAAAGCACATTTTATTCCTAGGATATAAAATGAAGGCGATATTCAGTTTCCAAAGCCCTAACCCAAATGCTGAAAACATATAGTTTTTAATGTGACAGAAAGAGAACTTTAAGTAACTGGAAATAATATTTTAAATTGATATGAATTATATGTACATTCTGATTCCACCATCTTTTGGAATACAGTTTCCAGCACAACATTTGAAGGCCAAATGTCAATATCATCCTAAAATTGTCAGATATTTCTGATATTAATGGGGCTAAATTTTCAAATAAACAAACAGGCCATTTGTAGACTAACTTTTCAGTTTGAAATAGGTACTACTGGCAAATTACTTCTCTTAGTTTATTGTTGCTTGATTTGGGTTTTTTTTTTTTTTTCATCTATTTTTCCTTCTTCGGTGTTATTTTCTGAATATTACATGCAAAGATCACATAAAGATTATGCCATTCCAGGAGTAATTTCGCAGTTTTTCAGAAATCATGTGAGGAATTCTGGAAATGATGTTCCGGATGAAACTTGTTTATTTGGGACAGTATAACCCCCAAAACACACTGAACTACTTCCAGTTTGGAGAATTCCAAAAACAAACTCCACCAAACTATCCTTGAAAAGGGAGAATCTTCAGGAAGTTAGCATGGCTTACTGGAAGAGCAAAACAGTCTAACGTTCTCCAGAATGCCCTGTCTCTGGAAATTATATATTTTGCATATCCCTAATATTTTTTTCTATTTCTATGGCTTATATCAAAAGCCATTTACTGTTATTATAAATATATGCATTACATTTCTTGGCTGTTTTGATTTGAAGAATTTAAAATGGTTCTGTAACAGTGACTAAAATAACAGCATGGTCTTATTTACATTCATTATAATGGGAGGAAGGGCAAAACTATTGTACATCACAACTGAAAGTTATATACATGCTAATATTTGCATTTTCCAGAGAAATTCCTTGAAAGAGTACATATAGGATTCTTAATGCAATCACTTCAATATTTATAATATTCATATAATGGTAACATGCTAATATTATGTAAATCTTAGTAAAAGACGTTAACAAATGATTCTAATATAAATATAAAGATGAATAATTCAGCTATGCTTTGCTAGGATAGTATCGTAATAGAAAATCCCCTGCAAAACATGCTAATTTAAATAAGGAGTACTGCATAAATTAGTTTCCTACAAAGCTATTATCTTCCTTTAGAAGAAAGTGATAAATTAACTGTAAGCTATCATTATTTTCCTTTTTAAATTCTGAATTTCTTTTATAGATCTGAAGCTTCTTTACAATAAAAACTCCTTTTTATGACCCTTAATTCAGGGGGAGAGTCGAGGCAACTGGATGGAACTGAGCATTTACTGGCTGGATGCCTTTCCTGACACCATGCAGATTTTTTTTTCTTTGCACCCCAGGAGAGAAACATTTGCCACTACCTAGAATTAAACTCTCAACCTTCTGAGTGGGAGGTGGACATCTTCATCACTAGGCCACCACGCCACTCAAAACTTTTCTACAGTGTCTTTGCTAATTTTTGCTTTACCTTACATCAGTGTTTCCCAAACTTGACAATTTTAAGGCATGAGGACTTCAACTCCCAGAATTCCACAGCCAGCAATGCTGGCTGTGGAATTCTGGGAGTTGAAGTCCACATGCCTTAAAATTGTCAAGTTTGGGAAACACTGCCTTACATTCACTCAGAGGCAGGATTCTAAAAAAATAAGGTATTTTGCAATATTCTTGGGAATGTAGCTCTTGAAATAGCAGGTCACACAGGACAGGGCAAAAAATCATGTTTTGCACAAGCATAAATTCTGTCAGGAAAAAAAGATCTAGGGCTAGCAGGAACAAATTTTTGTTTGTTTTTTATAACACTTAAGATTCTCAGCAAGTATTCCCATAAATCTGGAACTAAATATATAGATATAAGGAAATACATATCTATAAATATTTTCAAACATGATCTAAACTTTAACCTTCATTTTGGGTGGACAGGAGGCGGTTCCAGACTGGTTAGCTGCTTTAAATTTCTAGGGCTTGGTAAAAGTGTTCCCTATTGTCCTTTGTTTTAGTCCTTTTATAAATATATATTGTAGGGCTGTGAAATGCTTTCAATCAGATTCAAAGGAAAAGAAGTGATTCAGAGCATACACAGGTATTCACACTGCATCTGTCAGCAACACTTTAATATAAATATGTCTTTTCCAAAGTTATGGAAGGCAGCTACTCACTCTCAGGAAAAGACATAGCTGCTTTGTAATTGCTGAGAAATGTCATCAAGTTTCCCAGCTCCAAAGCATATTTCCCCTTTCAAAACTGCTGTAGTGAAATTGCAATGATTATCTGGAACTCACAAGTATGCATAGGATATAGTGAGCAGGCACAAAATGGGGCATATCCTGATATTCCTGGGGGGGGGGAGGAGGGAGCAGGTGCTGACAAAATGTGGGACAGTAACACTTTGGAACTAAATTGTATGGGAATAACATTACAGCTTTCTAGCAATTAGCCTTTTTTCCCTAGAACAATGAAGGTTTAAACATAATTTTTGGCTGCTATATAATAAGAACCCAGATTGTTGGGCGCAATATGCTGACTCTGTAAACCGCTTAGAGAGGGCTGTAAAGTACTATGAAGCGGTATGTAAGTCTAAGTGCTATTGCTATAACTACTTAATTTCCCAGTGGCAAGTAAGCCCTAACATAGGTCTCTGCAGAGAAAAGAACAAGATTCTCTGGTAGAGTCCTCAATTGTCCTGAAATGATCTGATACAACTCTCTGCTTACCCATCATGTTGCCTGGATTATCTTGAAAAATATCTTTTATTTTCAATCCAACTAACTTCTTACAGGAACAAATGTCTTAAATTTATATGTGTTCCTTAACGGATATTACACTTGGCTTCTTGTTGGAGTAGAAGGCAAGGAGAAGAATGGCAAAGTAAAGTTTTAATTTGAATTTATGTTTGATGCTTTAGTTAAAAGATTAAAAATAACAGATGATGAAAAAGTCATGGAGAGTACAGTCTCCTGAGCCAAAAAGGAAAGGGAACTTGAAAGGGTGTAAAGCTTGCTAGCATATGGATGGCTTTAGCAGCAAGATATAATATTTGCTGGACATGTTTAATGTCCAGAAATACAGCACAAGATTCATATTCTGTATGGAGAAAAAGCAACGTTCCTATCTATAGTTACATGAAAATGGCAGAACTGTGCTTACAGGAGTTCCAAATGAGTGCCTAAAAGCAAACTTCTTATAGTTTGGACTACCACTTGCCTTTTCAAGCTGAATTTACAGGTTTATGGAGCTCAAGTTCAGTTTCAAGAGAGGAGGCAAACTATGGTCCTGTGGATTGCATGTCCTGCCTAGCAGACTGGATTATTTATTTATTTATTTATTTATTTATTTATTTATTTATGGGACTTATATACCGCTTTAAGTGCAAGCACTCTCTAAGCGGTGTACACCAGTAAGTAATGTATATATATATATTTACATTGCCCCCAACAATCTGGGTCCTCATTTTACCTACCTCAGAAGGATGGAAGGCTGAGTCAACCTTGAGCCGGTGAGATTAAGAAGAATTATGATGGTCTATGACCATAAAAAATACTTCATTTACAAGGCAGAACACACTCATAGTCTGGAGACTCTCTTATAGCAACAAAGAATGGGAAGTGATATTGTTATTTTAGCTAGTTTACAGCAGGATAACAATATATTTACAAAACAAATACTAATAGTATTCCTTCTAGTTATATTTCAGATTGCACTAAAATATTTTCAGACTACAGTTACAGGAAACAAAACTCAAAATGCATGAAGCATATTTTATGCTACTCTTACCTGATAATTTTCTTTATCCTCAGACACAGGTTGTATAATTTCACTGTCTAATTTAGTGCAATTCACTGTTTCAGAGCAGTCTCCAAGATTCTCATAATCTTTAGTAATATTCTTTTCAGTATCATCCCTAACAAAAGGAACAAGATGCTAAATAATGAATTTTACCTGCATAAAACTATCTGGTTATGGGTATAAGTTAAGGACTGTAGGCATTAACTATTTTGGTGATAATAATATTCTGAATTAATGAAATCAGAATATGCTTATAAAAGTCTGTACAACTGCATTCAGAAAAGAAAAAAAAGTAAATTCCTAATATCCATTTATTATTTAATAAGATGCTCATAAATGTTATAGCACAAAAATACATGTAACATTCTACTTTTGGGGAAAACTTAATACTGTTCCTACCATATCCAGCAACAGGCTGTAGATACTGCAGTAATCCCTAGACTGATATTCCCCAAAGCAAGGAGTTTAAACTAGCGATAGAATGTATGTTACAGTTGGTTCATACAAGTTGATCACACTGAAACCATTCTGAAACACCCGACCTCTACGAAGCAGAAGACGCTGCCTATTCAAACACATTACCTGAAGAATTGCTTCAGAAGAAGTGGAAAGAAATGAAATTTCCCCTAATGTCACTAAACCAAAGAAGGGACATCTAAAGGCACTAAAGATGCTGCAGGCATCTTTGTGCTACGGATAGTCTTCTATTTATGATTACTTATTCAGCGACTTGTCAAAATTACAATTCTAAAATAATGGACATATGACACATGCCCAAAGTTATCATCATTGCAGCACTTCCACAGTTACATGACAAAAATTCAGGCACTTGACAGCTTGCCTATACCTACAACCATACAGGCACTTCCCCCACATTACTGCCCATTTGTTCATTTATATTTCATATTTCTTAATAGCCATCTCCTTTTGGCTGCCCTGCACCCTGCCTTGCAGGGCAGCAAGCAATCCTGCAACCACATGGATCTACAGCTGCTTGGGTAAACCCCAGCAAGCAGCAGCAAGCATTTTATTTGTAGATGGCTAACATCACTGAATATACTGTCAGCAACATCAATCTACAAATTATAATCCTTATTTAATTAGAATGTCCTGCAGGTAAATCATGACCTGCCACAGTCTTACAGGAAATTGATTTGAAGAAAAATGCAACAAAGCATGAATACATTATTAGGACACTATGAAATCTCTTAAGCAATATATTAAGGATAATGGAAATGCTATCAAGTATCCTCCTCCTCATCACTGCCATCATCTTCATTCATTATCCATACTATCATCATCACATAGTGCCCAAACACTACAATAAAATTTCATTTTGTTACTATTTATTTTTTTATTTAAAAAAATCATTTTTATTTTAAAAGATTAATTGATTTTTGTAATCAAATAAGCAATATAAAATAAAATCTTACCGGTTGTTAGATCCTTTTTCATCTTCCTCAATATCTCCTTCATGACACACCACTTGGTGCTGTAAATTCTTAAGATCTTGATCTATGCTGCTCTGCAGATCAAAGAGATGTTGTTCTACTGCTGCTCTAATTGTTCTTTCCAAGATGCTTGAAATAAAACAATGGTATGTATTAATAATCTATTTTCTTATATGTAAATCATGTTGCTCAATTTTGTTCCTAGCAAGCAGAGGATATTCAACTGAAAAGAAACTAGTTTATTCATTCACTTTGACTAGCAAATAGAGCAGAGAATGTGCTTACGTTACAAAAATAATTTTTTCTGACGCTCACAGTTCAATGTGATACAATGTGAAATCTTGTACTAGGTTTAGAAATGGAAGCAGACTCAGGGCAATTAGAAAGAATAGCAACCTGTGTGAGAATTGGTGGTTTAAATGGTGAATTGTACAATATAAAGATATAATTTAAAGAGAAAGTAAAGAGATACAGAAAAAACAACTGTCAAAAGAAAAAAAATTAGGGTCAAAACAAGCCATGTGCTCTTAGAGCAATAAGAAATGTGGGTATATGGAAGATTAGGAAAAGAAAAATGGGGGTTAAAATTAACAGATATTTTAAATAGTCATTCAATATTAATTCCAAGTTTTTATCTATATTAATGTCATCCAGTATTTATTCACCCAAAGCAAAACAGTGCAAAGGTTCCGTAATAATAGAGGTAGTCCTTGACTTACAACCACAATTGAGCCCAAAATTTCCATTGCTAAACAAGACAATTGTTGCCCCATTTTATAACCTTTCTTGCTACAGCTGTTAAGTGAATCACTGTAGTTGTTAAGTAGTATAATGGTTGTTAAGTGAATCTGGCTTCCCCGTGGACTTTGCTTGTCAGAAAATAGCAAAAGGTGATCACTTGACCCTTAAACACTGCAACCATTATAAATACGTGCCAGCTGCCAAGTGTCCAAATTTTAAATCATGTGACCATGAGGATGCTGCAACGGTCATGTCACTTTTTTCAGTGCCACTGTAACTTCCAACGGTCACTAAACAAATAGTTGTAAGTTGAGGATTACCTGTATACAATACGATCATGAATATTTTCTATGCCTATGGGGAATTTATACTTACTCTGCAGAAGCTGGCAAGATACTTGAGAGATGAGCACTGCAATGAAAATGATACACAGAAACATTCAGGTTTCAGTTCAGTTCATTTGAGTATATTGTAATGATTTTCAGTAAGAAACCTAGTATATCGATAACAGGTTACAAATACTAATAAAAGTTTTAAACTCAGACATAATTATAGTTGACCAGGTTATGAATTGCCTTTGCCATTATTTAAAGATTTTATCATTCAGCATATTTAAATACAGTCCTTTAATGTAACTTCCGCAAGCAAAACAATACAGCAAAATAATATGAACTGCTAATGGAACATACTCAGTTATTGATCTCAACAATAACTGCTGTTAGTAACCTGTTATTTAATAATGCTAGGAAAGCCATGCAAAATATTTCAAATAGGTGCTCTGCAAAGTGTGTTAACATTAATACAGCACCTCTCTTTGACATGTTAACGCAGCCACATCCTTTGCAAGCTGCTTTAAAAGCTATCCTTAGTTGCCTATGCACAGAAACAGAGTGTTTTTATAAAGGAAACCTGGAGCCCTTATAAACAGAAGAACATTGACACCGATGTCCCCTAAACTCTGCTGAAGATGTTATCTAGCCTGGTAGCAAAACATTCAGAAAGCAACCCACAAGCTCAGAGAACGAACCTTCACCCTCAAAACGAGCTTCTTATAAAGATTTTGAAGACAGCACAACTATCACCTGACTGCTGTTTCTTGAAAAAATGAAGTATGAAAGGAAAAACTATATTCTTTCCTCCACATAAAAAAGGGTTGTGTATTTTTCTTCCTTTCCCTTCAATATACATGAAGAAATTCATCATGCTTTTTACAAGAGTTGAAAAACATTTTTAATTTCCTCCCAGGAAAACATAATATGAAAGAAGAGAGTATTTTAATTAACATAGCAAGAGTGTTTATAGCAGCACAGCTGGATGTAACATATGAGGGAGGACTTCTTATGACTGGCAAGAAGGCAGTTTTATCAATCCTTCAGATTTGCATCTGAACACTTTCACCAGTAAAACTGAGACTATTTAAAGGCAACAAAGCATTACTTCTTGGAAAAAAGAATATGCACTTTTGCAATACGTTCAAGATACCATAATCAAAATAAGTATCATGCTCATTAAATTCTACATTTTGTTGTACTTGAGTTTTCAAAATATTGTACAAATTGTATGGAATTTTAATGAAAGTTCTTCCAACGTAAGTCCAATTTTGTGTTTCTTTGTTCAAAAAAATAATAATAATAATGAAAGGGCCACAGGGGTTTTAAAAAAAACCCAGTCAAGTATAGGTTTTGTCATATTCTTTTCCTACAAAATCTTTATAACAAAGATTAGCAAATCGTTAAAAATGCTGTGCATCTGTTCAGTATTGATCTAAGTAAACGTGATGTAATAAAAAATGACATAGGGGGGCAAGCCTAAGTCAGACAGCAGTAATGAACAGTACTGAGTCAAACACCCATAATTTGATGAAGTACCAGAGTCATTAAAGAGGGTAGAGTAGTCTCCAAAGAAGAAACTTTAGTGCAGGGGTTCTCAACCTTGGCAACTTTAAGACTTGTGGACTTCAACTCCCAGAATTCCTCAGCCAGCTTTGCTGACATAAAAGCTTTGCTGGCTGAGGAATTCTGGGAGTTGAAGTCCACAAGTCTTAAAGTTGCCAAGGTTGAGAACCCCTGCTGTAGTGACTTTGCAGGTCAGGAAGAAAGGGAGGTTCCGCATACAAGTTCAAATGATGAATGTCTCAAGACTTCAGCATGAATGGAAAATGTTTGATTGGAAGCTCTAATCAGTTTTAAATACTGAACCAGAGAGACAAATGATAGAGAAGGAAACATTGTATGGAGCATATTGATCAGTTTACTAAGATCTAACTACACAAAAAAAATTCTACACTTATTTGCAGAAAAGTAGATGGGCGTTAAGTAATTATAGCTGCATCCACTTATAGTTTAAATATTTCCAGGACTTAACAACAAATTTTCTTCTGTATCAAAAAAAAAAAAAAAAAAAAAACAACTTGTAAGAGTTTAGCATACCCACAATCTCATAATGTCTCCAAGTTAAAATACCAATTTCAAAGCTTAAAATACAATATTAAATTAGTTTTACAACCGCTTTGTTTGCTACAACAAAGGCCATCTTATTTTTGCTTAAACATAAAAACAGGTCCCCTATTTTTTTTCCAAATCAACCTCTTTTTTTCTTTTACTAAGCAACGGTTAATTTTTGAATGGAAAAACAAATACTTTTCATTTATTGCAATTAATATGAACAAGCTCTTAAACTTGTGAAATGCAATGAAGTACTTAAGCAGCATTAATGAGAAGAGAGGGTCTCCTTGGAAAAGACCTGGCGTTGGGAAAGACTGAAGGCAAAAGGAGGAGGGGACGGCAGAGGATGAGATGGTCAGCTAGTGTCATCGACACAATGAACTTGAATCTGGACAAACTCCAGGAGACCGTGAAGGACAGGACAGGAGGACGTGGTGTGCTGTGACCTATGGAGCTGCGAAGAGTCAACATGACTTAGCAACTGAATAATAACTTAAGCACTATATTAATGCTGTATTATAGTATATACAGAGGATCAAAAGAAAGTTTCACAAAATAAAATATTTAAACAAAATTTATTAAAGAAATGAAGGTGATTAATTTTTAAATAAACACTTGAATATTCAAAGTTTATGTAAGGTTCTTTGATCAGCCAGCATTTTATTAAATCATATACTATGTAATAGTTACATCTGACAAAGTCCCGAACTTTCTTCAGTGCTTCCCATGAGGACGGGGTGAGGGGGAATCTAGTCAGTAAGCAAAATACTCAACATTGCCTCCCCCATCTCAGCTACCTTCAATGCAGTGAATATTCTCAAAAATCACTTCCAAGCCTGAAAAAAACTTATTGCTTTTATAGTCTCTTTCATCAGTTTTACAGATTTTAATATTTCAAGCAGCAGCATTATTTGGCTGAATTCCTGACAAAGAATGACACAGCATGATACAGCATAACCATTTTAATATGTTGTCACAATCTGCAAAATCATGTAAATATTCATAAGCATTATAATTTTAATAAACAATTAGGAATACATGAAGAGGTCTGTTCTCCTTAAATATCATAGATTATATGACTGCAGGGAAATAGCAGTTTATAGCAGAGTATATTTTCCAAAGCACGTTATTTCCATTTTAGCATACAATCCTTTAAGTCAGCTTACCTATGTAGTAGAACTTTGAAAGCCATTTTCATTATTTTTCCTATTCCAAATGAACATTTCAGATGAAAACACTTCATTGGAAAAAACTAAACAGATCAGCAGTCACAGTTGGCTATTCTGCTTGCTTAATTTAAGTAGTTGCCTCTAAGATAGCACTGAAGTATTACTGCACTAAGTCCTGCAGTCTACATAGAAAAGACTGCAACATGAGGTCACTACTAACAGTAAGCTGCCCAATCAACATTTTACTTCTAACAGGCTTTTGATTTTATAACTCCTGGATACCAAATAGTGGATCACAAGGGCACCTGAACAGATTTGCAACCTTAAATCACCACAGAAAAATGTGAAATATATAAATTTCATTCTAATTTCAATTATTCCATATCATAGTTTATATAAGCCTTAATGCAGCCAAACAATGGGAGATTCAGCTCCAACTGCAATAAAACTGGTTTATTCAACTATGAAAATGACTAATAATCATCGACAGATATGAATATACAATAAAAGTATCACAGAAGGCGTAGGCTTTCTATCTTTTGATGTTATTCAATATTAGTTAACAAAATAACAGAGTTGGAGGGGACCTTGGAGGTCTTCTAGTCCAACCTCCTATTCAGGCAGGAAACCCTATACCAGTGATGGCGAACTTTTTAGAGACCGAGTGCCCAAACTACAACCCAAAACCCACTTATGTATTGTCGGGTGCCAGATGGGCGTGGCCCATTGGGTGGGCATGGCCGCTGTGGTAACAGCAGACTGGATGGGACTAAATAGTTCAATCAATCAATTCCAACTTTGCGAGATTTTTTTTTTCCCGTGAGAAGTTGAAATTGATTGATTAATTAAACCTTTTTTTTTTTGCACATGGCGGCGGAGGCCTAAAGCGAAAAGGTTTTTTAAAACCCAGCTGAAGGCCTAGGACTGGGGCGACCGCGCGCGTGCCCACAGAGAGGGCTCTGAGTGCTACCTGTGGCACATGTGCCATAGGTTCGGTACCACGGCCCTATACCATTTCAGACAAGCGGCTGCCAATCTGTTCTTAAAAACCTCCAGTGTTGGAGCACCCACAACTTCTGGAGGCAAGTCATTACACTGATTAATTGGTCTGTCAGGAAATTTCTCCTTAGTTCTAGGTTGCTTCTCTCCTTGATCAGTTTCTATCCATTGCTTCTTGTCCTGCTTTGGAGATTAGGTTGACCTCTTCTTCTTTGTGGCAGCTCCTGAGATATTGGAAAACTGCTATCATGTCACTCCGAGTCCTTCTTTTCATTAAACAAAACATACCCGGTTCCTGCAACCGTTTTTCATATATTTAAGCCTCAAGTTCCCTAATCATTTTTGTACGTGAAGTGAATAGGATTTTTTTTTTTTTATGTCAGTAAGACATACCAGTGAGCAGGAGGCAGCTACACAAACCTTCACTGGAAGAGCATTTCATATATGGGAACTCCAGCCCAAAGGCCCAACTAGCTAATTTAGTTTCCTTGATAAAAGCCTTATCAGAAGGTCCAAAGTGCTGGGAGGTCTGATGGAATAAGAGATATTCACTAAGAGAATCAAGAAGTTTAGAAGTAAGAATGGTTTTTAGCACATTAAGGAATGGGCGCTTTCAATTAAGTCTGGAAATGGAGCAATAGCGTGAAGATATAACATTTAATCAACGTCCTCCATTTTTGCAGCTGATATTATTCAGAAACGCTGACTAGAATTCCTTCATTTGCTTGGACATGCAGAAATCTTTTGAGCGCAGACCTAAAGACTCCTAACAACAGGGTACCTACTAGTCCTTAGTGCAGATCAGATTCCTTTGTCATGTGGTAAAAGAAACCAACACATTTTGAACCAAGAAACATTTTAGAGGCAGTCAGTCTGTACATTGGTTTCCCCTCTCATTTTATTTGTGGCCCTTTCAAAAAGCCTACTTAATATGATAATTCATCTAATCCTGGTCCAATGCTGCTGTGAGAGTTATTTCTGCTAAGTTCATGCACATACGACAGCTCATGTTAGCCACTGCAATGAAAATAATCATCTTATAACCTGACTCTCTTGCCCCAAATTTAGTTCAGTAGCTCTAATTAGCCTTCCTCAACCTACCGCCCTCCAGATGTTTTGGGTTTACAGCCTCTTTGGCAACGCTCCCCCAGCAAAAATATATCACACATCTCAGTACTTGGAGGAAAATGGTGCTAGCTCCCTAGTAAATATTATTAGGACTGCAGGCATCCATTGCCAGCAGTCCCTTAGATATTGGAATACTGCTATCATGTCGCCCCTAGTCCTTCTTTTCATTAACTTGACATATCAAATTCCTGAAACCATTCTTCATGTTTTAGCCTACAGTCTCCTAATCATAAAAAACAATTCCAATTCTCTATAGTGTTAGTCATTATTGCAAGATATTAATTAATCCTGCAATTTATAAGACAGAACTATTCAATTCATGAAACAGAGCTGCAGACATTCATAGCATCAACATCTAAAAGTAAATACAAAGCTGGCATACAAGTGTCAAACATTATCTAGACAATTTGTCTTCAGAACGTAACAGATTGGCAATGAAGTAACTATAGAAATATGGCTAGCTATGTATGAGCTTCCACTGAGCCCTCAGTTAAAAATTATATGCAATGAAAATGTTAAATCCTGAATTAATCATTGTGTATGTGTATGACAAGAAAATGAATATTGTTTTATACGTATGCTTTTAATGTGGTCTCTCAAATTAACCCTTATGAAATAATCAGAAATAATTATTAAAAATAACTGGGCATCACCCTATGTACTCCCTTTCCTCTTTTTACATGATATTGTAAAATTACACTGTGCTCCCCCTTCTAGAATATTCTCCCATCAGAGGTGAGATCTACCCTCACACTCCTGACCTTCTGAAAGAGTCTAAAAACTTGGTTCTGCCACTTGGCCTGGGGCCAAGTGTTTAACACTTTTTAACTTTTTATTATATTGTAAGCTGCCCAGAATCACTGTATTGGAGAGATGAGCAGCACAGACATTTAATATATAAAAAGAATAAATAAAAATATTATTTCCTATTTTTTTGGTCCATAACAAATTAATTGACTGCTATATTCAGGCTGCTATATTCAATACAAGCGGGCTGTAATAAACACAAATGTTATTTGCCTACATTGCAGTCTTTAAAAAGACAATTTTAAATGGGGTTCTACTACTGGGTTTTTTTTTTATTCAAAGGCCTTGTGTCCATTTAGGGATACACTAGGAAGCAATCAGATATTAAGAAACTATATGGAATTACAGCAAATTGTCAAGTTCCATTTTTCTTATTAAGAGACCATATAACTTTATTGAGTAGTAGAAATCCAAGAAGACACAATTAGTGGGATATTATCTTGACTTCATCTAACACTCTATATACAGTATTAATATACCCTTATTTCCCTCCTTTTGATAAAATATATATGTCAATATTATTACACACAATGTTCAATATATTAAATCAGGCATGTATTCAAGGACACAAATTTGGAGTCAGTACAGGAATTGAAACACACACACACACACCACACACACCGCAAGCTTTGAGATACCCCCAGCATCATTATGGCAAAAGCCATGCAGTTTTGCAGTTTTTCCCCTGGGATCAGTGGGAAATGCTAGCTCCTGAACATTAACTAAACTCATTTTATATTCTTACTAAGTTTTTTTTTACCATGCATAAAGCAGCAAACAAGTCAGAACTTTCAAAAATTGTTTCAAGCTAAATTGTTAATTTTGGCTCACGCTGAGTTCTGGAATGAAACAGTAAAAACAAAAAACTATTACTTCATTAAATTGTGAACTATTATACGAAGCACTGATATCCTGAAATTCTGTCATGAGTCCAGAATTCAAAATGCAATTATTTTAAACTCTGTATTGCAGGATCAGAGAATCACTCTGGTCTAGATGAAGGAAACTCAGGTCTGAGAGCTTTGTGTCAATTTGACTACGTTACTGTGTCTAAATCTTACTTCTGTGACAGAAAGGTTGGAAAGTTGTTTCCAAAATTTTGCGTTAACTAAAATCCTAAAATTCAACTCTAAAAACAGAAGCATATATAGTATTGAAGTAAGTATAGTGTACTGCCTAGTAATACCATCCTCAGTATCTTTGCTATATACCTTGTTGAGGCTGAAACACTACATGACTCCAGGATGCTCTCCATCATATCTTGAGACTCTGTATCTTCCCTGTATTTTGGATCCTCTGTGTTTTCTTCTTCTTCCTCTTCTTCTGGCAGTTCTTCAGACTGCTCAAGCTTTATATCATCTTCATCCAACAAATCATTTATCTTTAAAAAAACAAACAAGTAACATCAAGACCTCATTTTCTCAGATAAAACAAATTATTAGATGCTACACACTGGAGGGAAAATGTATGTTCATAAATAAAGTGGATCAAACTTTATTGATACCTATGCTTTGGATCTCAACTCAACAAAGAAAACATGTACCAATGAAGCCCTGGACTCGTAGCCAGTGGTAATCATATGATATATAACTTTAAGCCAATACACAAGAAGAAGAAAAACCAAAGACATCTATTCCTTGAAGAAAGCCACAAGATAAAAGAGATTTAATGTGGACCTTCTTTAAGTAAAGTGGACATAATATCATGAAGAGTAGCAGTGTTCTCTAGCTTAACAATACTGAAATCTCTGCTCTCCTTATTTCTGAAAGCAGTTCAATGAAATCTCAGTCTAACACAGATCAATAGACTAAACTGGTGTTCAAATTTCACCAACAGGTTTGTCATCTATTTTCAAAGTCTGCTTGGACACATTGATTCTGTGCATATGTATTTTTCTTGCTTCTTACTAGTTTTTGTGCTTATTTTTCCCAGTAGGAGACAGAGATGTTAAATAGTAACATTAAATGAATTGGTTTGCATAACTATTTTTCACACTGCACTTGCAAAGAAAGAATTTTTACTTATTATATTTATTAAATTTTTATGCCACCCATCTCCCCTATCAGATAACTTAAATAAACTACATACATATAACTGGAGCATGCTGTAATTTACTGCCAGATGAATGAATTGAACAAAACTCTTTTTGTTAAACCATGATTTTGTCTTAATTTAAATATCAACAATTTAAATCAGGACACTGTACATTAATGGACATATTGTATTTGAACACGTATACTATGAGAAAATGCAACATACTTTTCCTCATGTTGCAAAGAGAAGAGAGAGGTATGAAGAGTACAATGACAAGGTTAGACTTGTCCACATCTCATTAAACCATAGGTTAGCGTTAAGATTCCCCCATGAGAACTGGTTTTGTTTAATAATTGAGCAAAATAGCTAATAACTGTAGCTAGTTCAAGCATCTTCTGCACATGGTAAAAAAAAGTTGGGAACATAAATGAAACCTAATTAGTAAACTAAACCAGAATTTATAAACACATTATACAGCAAAAGATTTGTATTTTTACATATTACAAATATTTTATCTATCCAAAAATGCATTAGTTTCTTACCTGCTCAGTTACTGAACTTAAATCATTAGATGAGAAATCTTCCTCTTCATTTTCAAAGAGTTCATCATAATTCTCTAGCAGTCCTGCCATTATTCTGCTAACAAGTTCTTGCTCTTTCAGATCCTCCACATCTGTGTAAATGCTTTAAGAATGTCCAAAATTAAATTCATGTTTTTTAACATTATTTTATCAAGTGTTGTTACTATTTCCTACTCCAGGGTTACCAGAGGTAAAGGTTAAAATATATATTTTAATACATATAATTTTCCTCCTAAAGCTAGACAACCTTCTAAGAGCATCGTCTACAAGAAATTACCATTTTGGTTTGTCTAGCAAACAGAGCCACTGCATGAGTTCATTTTTGCCTTTCTGAAATTAGGAGGAATGAGGTCTATTCATCACAGAAAATTAATCAGAAAATTATTTACTATGCATTCTAAGCATCTAATACAGTAGTGGCAAACCTATGGCACGCGTGCCAGAGACGGCATTCAATGCCCTCTGTGGGCACATGTGCCATGCCCCGGAGATGGCAACTGTCCCTCTTCAAGCAGCCGCCTGCTAACTCGCCGAGGTTCCGTATGGCCAGATGTATCCCGGCACAGCTGGTTTCCCTCCCCCCATCGTCCCATCCCTCCTGGCCCCGCATGCTCTACTTTTCCCGGGCATGACCCATTGCATTGCCTCCTCAGCTGTCAGCCGGCCATCCAGCTCAGAGGCGGCTTCTTTGAACTGCTGGAGATGGGCTGCGGAGCCCCAGAGTGCACCAGTCAAGGGGCCGGCAGGCTATGGCTGCTGACGGACACCGTCGGCCCCCATGCACTCACTGGCCTCTGTGTGCGGGGGGCCAATGGTGTCAGGCAGCAGCCACCCCGGCCCTTGCCTTGCCCCATGGCAATGGCACCCCCATCCTGCCTCGCCTCACCCCGCAAGACGAGCCTCTTGCCTACTGTTCCACCTGCCAGAGACCCCCTGGATCTCTCCCAACCCTGCCCACACCCACAGGCGTCCCTCCTCACGAGAACACTGAGGTGACCATGGCCACCTTGGCCACACCCACCCAATCTGCCATGACCACTACAGCCCCGCCTACCCAGTGGGCCACGCCCATCTGGCACCCGGCAATAAATAAGTGGGTTTTGGGTTGCAATTTGGGCACTCGATCTCTAAAAGGTTCGCCATCACTGATCTAATATAATTGTGAAATTACATTTGAAAGAATAAGTAATAGGCAGATCCAATATTTATACAAAAATTGAGTTTTGTTAATTTAAAGTAATTTAGCAAAAGAAAAACCTTCTTACACTATTTTAATAGAAAAGCTAAATTTAAGAAGCATATAATTTTACATAATATTTAATAGAATTTGCTAAATGGATAGAAATAAGAAAGGTAAAATAAGTTACTTAATAGTTAGATTACAGGAGAAATTTCTTAAATACACTTTTACTCTAAAGTTTCATTAGGGGAGGGGAACAATATCTTACTGAAAGACATCAGGACCAAAAACTGCAGCCAATGAAGTTGCAGACCAAATCTCTTCATGATGTGATGCTACATTAGCTAAAAATCTACACAGAAACTTTAATAAACTGTAATTCACAGGTGGAAGCTGTTGCAAGAGGAATCTTAATTTTCTTCCAAATTCATCTTCATTATAATCTGCAAAATGTGATAGAATTTTCAATAAATTTTAATGCATTATTCCACATTTGATAAATTTCCATTCAAATACCAGTATGAAGTTTCATGTTCAATTCCATTTTAAATATGTTACTTTTAAGTAAAAAAAAAGTTTCCAATAACTGAACATTTTTCACCTCATTTTCTGCAGATTTTAGCAATCCTTTCCTATCATCTCTACTTTGTTGTATAATTATTTGTTAGTTTTATGTTATCTTTATCTTTGTCAGATGGATTTAAATTATCTAAAGTAATAGATATGAAAACAAAATATATTTTAATATGTAATAAAAATTCCCATTCTCTCCCTAGTATTACAGTCATTTTATACCAGGAATTAACTTCTGAAGCTGTTACTACTTCTATAGTTTGTATAGAAGACTTTCCATCTTGCTGACAGAAAACCTGACTGTATTCTATACATTCATTATTAATCAAAACCAAAACACCAGGAGAACACACAGATACCAAGTTATTAAGTTATTCATTTCTTTTGGATCAGATTGACTTTGAAAAAGGTATTATTAGACTGAAAACTAAACAAAACATTGGATAAAAAGATCTATATTTAAATATAGTACATGCAGAAATTAAGAGCTATATTCTGATTCTGTTTATTTATAATGGTTCAAAGAATTCATGCACATTGCTCAGCTGTTCAAGTTTAGCTCTTTATTAGACCCTTGTTGTGCAGGTCTGTGTCAACCTTTTTGAGAAGCTGCTTTAATGCCTTTTCCCAGTTATCTGAACACACAAGTATATGCACAGAAAAGATATGTCAGAATTGTTGCTAAAACAAATACTCAGAGGACCTAGAAAGAGACCTGAAATGAGTGCATCAAACCTTTAACATATAGTTGCCCTTGACATTTCTGAACAGCAAGTTCACAAGGGCACGTTGCTTGCCTTGCCAACCTATATCTACCTATGTACCAAGATATGACAGTCACTTCTAAATCTATTTTATCAATATTAAGAAAAATGTAGTTTAGCAATTGATTGCCAAACACTCAATAGAAGAAATTGAAATATATAGGTGCATACATTCAGAATATTTTTCTATTAAATATAGAATGTTTCTGATGCTAACTAAAGAAATATGAAATATCAGTTGAAGCTATCTTTCAAAACATTTTCAAAATATCTAAACTTTTAAAATATCTAAATTTATTTGTGGTTCCATATGTGTTGAAATGTTCATGTAATTTAGATATACTTAAACCACAAGAAATAAAATGCAAGGATATTTTGACACACATGGACTTCACTCCATTCATAGGTCAACCGCCCAGCTTTTATATTAGATTTTTTCAAATTTCTGAGAAGGGATCTTATAAAAATAGCTATGTCAGCATTTTAAGACAATTTCTTTTATTATTATTATTATTATTTCAGATATAAAGATAGGGCCAAAACCTATCTCTATATATCCAATGGATATAAAATTAACAGATCTTCAAACCAAATAAATTATCAATAACATAGTGTGCATTTATGTGTGTGAAGAGGTGCGTAGATATTACAATGTGACCTTAATAAATGTTCTATTTACATAAAGAATTATTAAATGGGCCTAAAAGTGGGAGAAGTGTATATTAGTAGACTAGTGCTATTTCCACTACATATAGCTTCTATTTTATCAATATAAAACCAAGGTTTCCCGTGATCTGGATACACATTTGGAATGTTACAGAGGGAAACAATTTCAGGCATTTTAAATTTCCAAATTAACTATTTCTAAACAGTTTTTTTCACATATATTGAAGTCATTCCAATACCTTGAGGCAGTTGTATCAAATGCATATGAAGAGTGCCAGGAATAACTGGTTCTGGAAGTTCTTGAAGAAAATATCTAAGAAGACTAATAGCAGAAGGTACATCTGCTTCTTTAACCAGGTCGACATCTTCTCCATTATCATATCTTTGCCGAAGCCACTCCACTGTTTCTGCATTCCCGTTGACTTGAAAAAGTCCTTCTTGCTCTAGACCTCCTTTAAATAGAATGAAAAAAACAATATTCCCTTTTAAAATGAAAATACATTCATTTCTTACCTATGAATGTCACAAAAACAGGCAAAAAAGATGATCCTAGCCAATGCTGCCACCCAAAGAAACGTTTACAAACTTCAACAAAAATATTGGAGCAGTGTGCAAAATATTTATCGTTTAACAGTGAAACCCATAAAACGTCCTATTTCAAGTGTGAACTACTCTTTTGAATGGAAAATAGGTTGAAAACTGTTTAAAGGCTGTGAAATAGAACATTACATGTTCAAAAGAGCTTGTTTCTTGCTTGGACTACAGTTAGCCCTAGACTTAAGACTGTAATTGAGGCAGGAATCATGGTTGCAAGACATGGCAGTCATTAAGTATGTCATTGCATGACTGTGTCTAATTTTATGACTTCTGCGGCAGTCAAACAAATGGCACACTTGTTAAGCGAACACCGGGGTCATTACGCAAACACCGAAGTTGTTAAATAAGTCTGTTTTCCCCAATGGGCGTTTTTTGCTGGAAACATGAAGTAAATGCTAGAAACTGGCAAAAAACACCCAAAACTGCAGTTGAAAGACCATGGAACGCTGCAAATGGATGTAAATGTGAACCAGTTGCCAGGCTGTGTGTTTGTGTAGGTGCGGCCATCGGAAGTTCAAAACCAGGTTATAAGTGGTTCTGGGAGTTATAATAAAGTTATAATAAACTTCCAACAGTCACTAAGAAATCAGTCTTTAAGCGAGGACTACCTGAACTGTTAAAATGTCAACTAACATTTATTTGTGTTCAAAATAGGATGCTTAGGGTATTTATTGAAGTTTCAACTTAAAATAGTTCTCAAACAGTTTACACACACGTAAAAATAAAATTTACTAGTACTTTCTCCCATGAGATTTTATTTGTGTACTGGAACTTTCTCTTGTTCTTTCCTCCAAATTCTCTCCACAATGTCCTCAACCCACAACAGCAGATTTAGTGAGTATAAAGAAATGGGAGAAGAATTTGTCCCATTATATGTAATCCTCAATTTACAACCATTCATTTAACAATATTTTGAAATTATAATGTCAGAAAAAATGACTTATGACCTCTGCACTCACACTTATGACCATTGTACCACCATGTTCTGTAGTCATGTGATCACAATTTCTATTTTTCCCCTAATTTCCAGCAAAATAACACCTATTGGGAAACCAATTAACTTAATAACTATAGTGATTCACTTAAAAACTGTCATAACATCAGTTCTGACTTGAGTTATAACCATAGCAACTTAAGATGGAAATTCCAATCCCAATTATGGTTGCAAGTCAAGGACTACCTGTACAGATGTTCCTTAGATTATAGGAGTGGTACAGAGGACAGTAGGATGACATTCATTGTTATAAAGCCTAGTAGAGAACTGTATTCATAACTTCCCAAGAAGAATACATGAAAAGTATCTATATTTTCAAGTTTTTAATTTTATCATTAAGGCACAGGACGAAAATACATACCATGTTCCTCAATATAGTCCACGACATGGCGGACTATGAATGGAACTTCACTGCCTGGTTGCCCTTCCTGCTGCAGTTCATCAAGTGGAATTCCAAATATTTTATTAGTAAGAACAGAGTTGCAATTACTCAAAGAAGGGGAGGAGCTCTTCCTCATATCTTTATGCAGCCCAATGTCAAAGTGTCTTTCTGAAAATAAATTAATTATAGACTTAACTTCTTCAATGCTTCCCACAGATATTTATTACCTGAAAAAAGATTAGAACTGTCTCTAATAATAAACACCATCTCAAAGGGATGATTTCTTTAGATGCTGGCAAATTTACACTAGAAGCTAGGTAACCCAGAATTAATACCAAAATTTGGCTAGCTCTTTTATTTCCTGGTAGAAATTTATTATAAGTAACTGCTTTCTTATGACTGTTCAAGCTTCTATCATGCTTTAGGATGAGATAAGACCAAGACTTACTCTGATGTATTAGAATTTTGTCAAGAAGAATGTAGACGAACTGACAATAAAAGGATATGCACCATCAATGATTTTTATATGTGCAGTTATTAAAAAGATTTAAAGCAAATAAAAGAACTTTTGGTTTTGAACAATATAAGACTGGGTTTGAAATGAGACTGTATAGAAATGAGGAACATGTTATTGATAAAATGTATAAAGTTTTACTGAACTTCTGAAACAGAAGCAAAAATATATATGATAAAATGGGTTAAAAACTATGGTAATAATATACATGTCATGTTGACAATACACATGCACAAAATGTGATTGAAAGGACTGAAATTTATACTATTGTTATAGTCCTAAAGAGAATTTTTTTATAAAGTGATGTATCATTGCTGCACATCACCAGAAAAACAACCTAAAATAACCAACAATAAGAGATATTTTATAATGCTTGGTGGACATGTAATAAAAGCTAAAAAATGTTGCACATAATTACAATTACACAGAAGATTCTAAAGATATACAGGTTTTGTTTACAGTAAAAATTCTGCTTTTTTGCTACAAAATCATCCAAGACAACCAGCACATACAGTACTTAAAACAAAAATTAAATAAAAATCCAAATAAAATATATGAATACATTTCCAGGAATAAAGAGAAAACAAACAAAACACTTGGTGAAATAATAATGTCTTGATAATTTGCCCATTCCCCCTCCCCCCAAAAAAATCAACGGGATTCCTAAGGGTCAATTTGAAGAGGACTACTCTCACTTTTCATCAGCCTGCTATTATCACAGGTCACACCACGTGAAAGATTTCCCCAAACTTTAGGAGAAACACCTCAGAGTAAAAGGGAGCTGCAATAATACCTTCATTCATCTCAGTTTGTCTTGTAATTTCAGGATCTAAACCAGCGGTTCTTAACCTATGGGTCGGGACGCCATTTGGGGTCGATCGACCATTTCACGGGGGTCACCAAGCAAGGCTGTCTGCCATTTTTTCCCCCTTTTTCGGCGGGTGTCTTACCTCCCTTGGGCTGGGCCAGCTGGTGGCCCAGCTGGTGGTTGGCCTGCTCCATCTCTGCCGTTTGCCAGCTACGTCTCAGCTGGCGCAGGGGGCGGCACCACGCATGCGCGGTGCTCCTGGGCAGGGAAAGTCCTCGACTTACGACCGATTTAGTCCTTGACTTACGACCGGTTGGGGGTCGCGGCATTAAAAAGTTGAGAACCACTGATCTAAACCAAATGCGTTTCTACTGCTCTAAACACTTAAAAGGCTGAAATGCAATTTTAAAATACAGCTGCCTAATATTCTGAAACAAACCACTTTTCACTAACTTTCAGCACATTATAAATTGACTGATTGACTGATTATATTTATAATTTTTATCACATACTGCTTAACAGATCACAGGATGACCATATACTGCAGCTTCATTGCTGCATGCAACCCACAAAATACTTCTCGGTGTCCTTTGAACTGTTTCCAAAAGTTATTTAAAAAATCAGAATGTACAATTCTGGGCATCAATTATCAACCAGTTTAGGTCTATGCCTTTTGAATAATACAAAGAACTACTTTTGCCAAATTTCATCCTTTTACAAATGTTTACTGGCACTTTAAAAAATAAGGAGTAAAACTGGATCTTCATAAGGATAATTCCGATAAATACGTAGTATCTTAAATACAAAAAACTAAATTTGAATGTATATTCTAGCCAATACGGACTTTACAATATGAGAAATCTACGGGGGGGGGGAAGCTTTACATATGGAAATATATACAGACTACCCAAAGTTGCAGATCATAGTGTATTTACCACACTACTGAAGAATGCTCTCCATTATGGTCCATTTTTATAAAGCAGAACCTTTGAAATCAATACAGTTTAAGAATATCTTAAGAAAATAATAATAGTTGAGAACACCTACCTCACAGCACTTAAACACCTATGTTCACAAAATACTTTCTCTGCCAGCTACCTTTACTGACCAAGCATTCTTTTGTCATTTATGGTTGCTTAAGGTTATGGCAGAAGATCAGCCTGTAGTTCCTCATTGAAGAAGGGCAGAACTTGATCAGTATCTCAGCTATTAATCTGCAAAACACACAAAAGCATTTGAGTACTTAATCCCTTAACAGAGCAGTCCTATATACATTACTGTACTCACAAATAAAACTAAATTTAGTAGCATGTAATACATTTTCCATTTGAAAAATTTTGAGCTTCAAACACCTCATTCTAAAATCAAACTCCTTGTTTGTAGTTTAGGGCATTTGTTTGGAACTTATTAAAAGTGTTCCAGTGCTGTTTCAGTCATGCCAGAAATGTTTCAAACTTAAGAATTGAGGGCATTTCAAATTCAGCATTTTTCCAGGATGATCCACACAGCATCAGAACACTTCTTGTAAGATTATAGCAATATATCTGCCCTCAGAATTCAATGTTTCATGTCCAAAATCAACAAGTAGCAGAAATTTTGCATTCCGACATATGGTCCAAATGAAATTTAAAAATAGATCATTGTTTCATATTATTGTTTGATAATGTTAATTATGCGATCCAATGGCTCTCAGGGCAAATATTATATACAAGAGATGACTGTACAACTCTACTTTCTCCTTAGAAAGTATGCAGTGTTATAATTAGGATTAGTTATTGAACCAGAATGGAGTAACACTGTGTGATAATCTACCAAAATACAGAAACATTTTGTCATAAGTTAGAGGAATAAAAACAATTATCCATCAAGTGGTTATATATTACTTATTGTACCCAGTAATTGCAAAGCAAAATTTATTTACTAAAATATCTTCTTGCAATTTGCATCTGCATTTTTCTGTAGGAAGCTGCACTGGCCATTAAAGAGTCATAGTAAATCACAATCTGGAAGAAAGTTTTCCCTCCATTTTTCACACAATAACACCTTTCACATGCAAGATGGTTTAATCCTGGTTTCATAAAACAAAAGAGCCACTCTGTAATGAATTAGTTAAAATACAGTTATAGCTAGTCAATAAACATGGATAACCCATTTCCTGAACTGAATTCCTATACTCAATTATCTATGGTAAAAACTTCAGGGAAGCAACTGAATTTACATCAGTATCCTGTATTTATTCAGAGTACAGGTATTCTTCGACTTAAAACAATTCACTTAGTGACCATTCAAAGTTACAACACCACTGAAAAAAGTTACTTATGACTCGTTTTCACAGTTACAACCATTGTAACATTCCCATGTCATGTGATTTACATTCGAATGCTTGACAGCTGACTCACATTTATAATGGCTGCAGCGTCCCGAGGTCATGTGATCCCCTTTTGTGACCTTCTGACAAGCAAGGTCAATGGGGAAACCAGATTCACTTAACAACGATGTTACTAATTTAACAACTGCAGTGATAACAAATATGGGTGGCAGAAAAGTCATAAAATGGGGCAAAACTCACTTAACAAATTTCTCAATTAGCAACATAAATTTTGGGCTCAATTGTGGTCGTAAGTTGAGGACTACCTGTGCAGGTAATCCTTGACTTACAACCATTCATTTATTGACAGTTTGAAGTTACAACAGTACTAGAGATTATAGAGCATTTGCATTTTCAGCTGAATATCAGTACATCACACGTTATAGATGTTTCTACCTCCAATTTTAAAACTCATCTACTTCCAATCCATACTCTCTCAATATATACTGAACACAGAGATTTAATAAATATGGGGGCATCTATGCAACTTGATTTCTTGTGAGCTGCTCTGTTCTACCATGTCCCACCACGTGGACCGTAACTTCCTATCCTATAATACAAGTTTTGCATGAGGAGAATAAGATGTTCTTGGATACCAATTTTCCCAAACCACATTCCATACCTAGACATGGCCTACCATATACATGGCCTTTGTACAATCAACAAATCATATTTAATTCTGGCATTCTTTGGCCTCTTCGGTATAATAATAATAATAATAATAATAATAATAATAATAATAATAATAATAATAATAATAATAATAATAATAATTTAATAATAATAATAATAATAATAATAGGTGATGATGATGATGATGATGATGATGATGATGGAAGGGACCTTGTAGATCATCTAGTCCAATCCCCTGCTCAGGCAGGAAACCCTATACCATTTCAGACAAATGTCTGCCCAGTCTCTTCTTAAAAACTTCCAGTGTTGGAGCATTCACCGCTTCTGGAGGCAGGTTGTTCCACTGGTTAATTGTTCTCACTGTCAGGAAGTTTCTTCTTAGTTCTAGGTTGCTTCTCTCCTTGATTAGTTTCCATCCGTTGCTTCTTGTCCTGCCTTCAGGCACCTTGGAAAATAGCTTGACTCCCTCTTCTTTATATCCAGCATGCATCAGCAACTGTCAGACACAAGGAACTAGGCCCACATCGTGAGCCAAACAAATTTATTTCTTTATTGTTGCAAGAGTCTCACCAGACTGGCTGAATTTTCTTGGGAATAGTCATATAAGGCTTCAGGGACTATGGGGGAATAAGGCCATTTTTTGCTGTGATAGGACTTTAATCTTGGCCCCTTCTTTAAAAGTCTTTCAAACGTTAGCTGGAGATTCCACATTCTAAAGCCAGCTTGAACATCTGGCATTTCCCTTTCTATACTGACCACTAATCTGCATTTAATGATCTTATTTGGCTAGCATAGGAAATTATTGTATTATATTGTATGATAATTTGCACACTTTGTTCATTTTCCTTTCTTTGATATTGGTATATGGATGAATCTCTTCCAATTTTGTTGGCAAGTGTGTCTTCTCCAGATTTGCTGATTAAAATCTTTACTGATTCTTCTGTTGTTTGCCATACTTTCATTTGTTTGTTTGTATCCTGCCTTTCTATTTTTACAAATATCTCAAGATGAGGAATGTGTCCAACACACCTTCCTCCTCCTATTTTCCCCACAACCATCATCCCATGAGGTGGGTTGGGCTAAGAGAAAGTAACTGATGTTCTTAAAAATGTTGATATAAATTCAAATTATACTGCAGCAATTAATTTGGAACTTGCATATAAGCCGTCTGTGATCTGTTCTACAGCCAGCCAATGGCAACTTCTTCGCTGTTATAACTGAATTCTTCCATCTCCTTGTGCCAATATTAGAGCAAATTTTATTTTTGTGTACAGAACTCCATCAAGTGATGTCCATGAATACGGGCGTTGTTTGGCTGAAGACTACATTCCAGTCCAACTAGTTTTTCTTCTTAGTATTTCCAACTTTTGATAATAAATTATGGAAAGCTAGTGAAAATAAAATTAGCTGCAACCACAAGCCCACCTTTAAGTTGTAATTAACATTTCTATTGTGAGCCTCTTATTCATTTCTGAAAATACAAAGCAATTACCAAATGGCAGCCAAGAAGTCAAACATTCCTTCCTTCCACTAATGTATTTCTAAATATTCATCCATTACAAAATGGTCACAGGTTTTCTAAGTTCATTTTAAAAGCTGTCCCTACAGTCCAGTTCTTACACATAAGAAACAACATAGGAACAAAAAAAATAATCAGCTTTATTCCAATGTCCATACTTATCGTATAAGTTGAAAAGACTGGCAGAATTTGTTTTAGATCAGTAAAGGCACTAGTATGATACTATGATTAAAATGTTGGACTATGGACCCAGAGACTCAGGTTCAACTTCCAAATATGGAAGCTGGGGAATCACTCTCTGCCCAATCAACTTTATGAAATTATCATTATCGGAGGGGGGGGGAAGAAGGAATACTAGAACTGTATATCAAACTCCTGAAGGAAAGGAGATATAAATTTAAGAAATAAAAAGGTAAGAAGCAAATGTTAAATAAGTTGATCGTACGTTTATGGAGATTCTCAGTCATCCAGATCATAGTTATCCCAAAGGTGCTTTTTCACAAGGCAACTGGACTTTCTTGAAAGGTGGATGGTGGGGAATGGAAGGATTTATACTCCTTGCAGAATGCAAATGACGAGCTGTCTGAAAAGAGTTTTAAATCCTTCCATTCCCCGCCATCCAGACAGAGCTGAAGAAGTTTCTTGGATGAGAAGCGAAATGTCTTCAAAGAAAAACAAGTCCAGTTGCCTCACGAAAAAGCACATTTGAGATAAGCTGACTGTACAAAATTCAAACTCTAAATATAGCAAAATAGGGAAAGCATGCAAGCTTCTGTAATTCCTTCCAATTCTTTTACTAGAAGTGTAAAAGTGGTTTTACTAAAGGCATACTTTCTTCTGTATAAAAAAGTAATAGGTTGCCTGTGTGTTTTAGTTCCCTCCTCCTCTTATTTATGGGTGTACCATATGCATACACTGGGATTTACAAGGCAGTAAATGTACTATAGACTATTCTCAGGGGTTTAGGACCAGAGTGAAAAAGAGAGGGGAGTTGAAAATGGAAGAGTGGCAACATATGAGCAGCTACCTAACTAACTTCCCTATCAGGATACATAGCTTGTCTTTCTCTATAGACCACCCATCCATCCATTTTGAACTTATCCTCTCTTTGCCCACCCACCCACTCCGATTAGACTGGATTCAGTTCCTATACTGGGCTTGAAAAAAAAATGAAAAAGCGAAGTCTTTTTTCAAATACTTGACTCCTTCATGGACATATCCATGAGTAATGATAACAATAATACAGAAATGGTCTACCATTGCCTTTGCATCGGATTTTTAAAACTCTCAGTATAATTTCCTGCTGCTTTCTCATCTACTGAGTTTTTCAAGATCTGGCATAAAGCATTAGATACTGCATAACAGTTGGGCTGAAATTCTAAAATATTTAACGATTAGAAATTGCTCAGTAGCAAGTACAACATAGCAAAAAGCTTTAACAAAGGACAGTATTTTAAAAAATAATTTTAAAAAGTTCCTTTAGATGGAAGATTAATGAATTAGCTCAAACTTACTTTAAAAAATTATATTCAAACAATAAAATAATTACAGATAATCACAATTCCAGAAGAGAGTTACCAATAATTTAATCCAAAAACAGTAGCTATAACTTTTATTCCACTGTATCCAAAGATACATTTTAAAGATTAGTACTTCAGGTGGTAAAATACCATTGAACATAGCATGATATAAGG